ACACCCATGCTAGGCACAGCATCGTAGCCCCCCCTCCTTTCGTGCTGAGCCTTCAGCTTGTGGGGACCGCATAGCTCAGGCCTCCTGCATCCTGAAGAACAGTGAAATCCCACTGTGCTTCTGCATCTCCAGGTTCTGGTGGTGCTGTGCCCAAGGTGTACAGGTGACTCATTTCCTCCTCCTGTCTCCAGATTCCCTGCAGCTTCGCCCACCAAGGCCACTCTCCACAGCAGTTTTCTCTTGCTGGAAACATCATCCCTTCCAAATGTCATATGCCTGCTTCTCATGAAAAGGAAGAGACTGCATTGTGGGCTGAGTCACCTCCAGCATCCCTGCAGTTCTCTGTGGTCACACTGGAAAGCACAGGGCCTTGCAGTCTCCCGTGGGTCCCCTGTGCTGCCCCACACCTCCCTTGTGAGACTTGGTAATGCTGTCTTAAGTCCACTTCTTATACTCTGCAGCCTTCTGCAGTAAGGAGAGCAAAGTCAGGTCTCTCCTGGAGAAGGGAACTCACTCGCGCAGCTGGTCCAGGACTTGCTCCCTCAGCAGTGCCCGCTGCAGCTGTACAGTCCGACCAGCAGCTTCACCTTCCCTCTCTCCCCACCTTCCTTTCCCCTGAGGTACAGACTTACAGAGGCGGTCCACCAAGAAAAGCTCATTTTCTTGCTTCCCCTGCTCCCCCTCCTTCTTACTAGAGGTAGCCTTAGTTATCACTGCTCCTGGTGTGGGGAAGGCACTGCTTAGCAGAGTCTGGGCTTCCAGAGTGCAGCATGGTCAGAGCCCCCACATCCTCCACAAGTGTGAGCTGTCACTGACTTTCCTGCTCTTCTAGGCTGTAGCCTTGCTTTCTTTCCAACTCAGGGAAGCTGCTGGCCCAGGCCTCATAAAGAGAAAACAGGTTAAAGGATTTGCTCCTCGCCCCTAGCAAGTGGAGCTGCTGGGGGAGGGACGCCCTCCATGCAGTGGAAACCAATATACACGTGACGCCCGTGAGCGCTGGCAATGAGAGCAGACGTGCGAAGAGCAGCCATTACTGCAGTGGCGTGACAAGCTTATCAAAACAGAAATCTTTTAATATATGCCTCATAATCGCCAGACTCCGCTTTTGAAGGCTTATTAAAGTGATCCTTTCAGATCTCCTGACTTGGAGGCTCGCACTCAGAATTAGTAGGATATGAATTAATGACAGTTTATTACTCTCAGATGAGCTCAGCTTAAGGAGCTTCCTGTAAATGTGTGGGCTTTGATTTGACTTGTCAGAGCTCTGATGTGAAAACAAAGGAAGGTGTCTCTCCTCCCTGAACTGCGCCGCTGCTGCTGCTACTGCTGCTGCAGACATGGGCAGTCTCCTGGTCTGTATAAGGATGGCGGGTCCAGGCTTCCAGCTTGTTAACTCGGTTAAAGCTGGGACATCTGTGCAGGGTGTGTGACTTGATGAGCTGAAGCTGGGGTCAGACCTGCAGCTCAGCCAGCCACCCCGTCTTGTCTCGTTCCGCCCTGCAGAACCAGGCCAGTGTCCATCTGATGGGCTCACTCATCGCCGTCATCAACACACCACCGAGAGGAATTCTCCTGCGCCCCTGACAAAGGGAGGGCCATGCGGCATTCACACAGAGCACCCAGCAGAGCCCGTGTGCATGGCCCCTGCCTCTGAGAAGGGCTCAGGACCAGGGAAGCTCTGGAAAGTCAGGAGGGCCCTAAAGCAGCCCATGGCATCCTTGTTCTCATCCTCAGTTCTTAAGCTCCAGTCTGGGTTCCTTTAGGGCCTCTGAGCCAGAACAGCTTTTGGGAGCCGGTGAGAAGGAGGCCATCACCCTGGGCACAGGTACCAGCAGACCTGACCATCTCTCTTCGTGTATACGAATGCCATGCTTCGTTTCCCGGCCGTCCAGACCTGGATAACCGCACAGAGACTGTATTAATTACAACACTGCTTGGCCAATGGCTTACGCATATTGCTGACTCGCTCATATCTTAAATTAACCAATTTCTATTATTCTGTGTATCACCACAGGGCTGTGGCCTGCCGGTAAGGTTCCTAAGGTTCCAGCGTGTCCTCCTGTGGCAGCTACATGGTGGCAGCCACATGGGCGTCCCTTTGACGACTCCTACTCTCTCTATATCTCTTCTAGCCTGGCTATATTCTGCCTTGCCATAGACTGAAGCAGTGTTTTTATTAACCGATGGTAATAAAACATTCACAGCATACAGAGGGGCATCCCACATCACCTCCGTGATTACCCTACATTCCTGGGCCACACGACTCTGAACTATTTCATCTTGCATCACTCAAGCACAGAATTCTAAGTAAGCTGGGCCTTACTGAGAAGATGCAGAGCCTGACCTAAAACCATTCCATCTCTCCTTTCTTACTCCTGGCGCCTCCCACAACATCTTCCTCAACTTCTGAGTGTCTAAGTCCAGATCATGTTGTTTCCATGAAGAACCCGAACCCCCAAATCAACCAGCCTAGTGAGAATTAGGGCCAGCTTCAGAGCTGAGGCCATGCCTTCCACGGTCCCCATGGAGGTCACACCCATGCCATGAACTGCTAAGGCCTCGCCCTCCTTACTCACCTCGAGGAGCTTTTGTACCACCAGTACCCACATGACATCAGCTCTGCTCGAGTTCCAGGCTTCTTCCCGAGTGGTTCTGCCTGCGTCTGCATCTCTAGCGCAGCACACTCCATCGTGCACCCCTGCCCTCCCGTCCCCTTCAGTGCATTTCTCAGGTCTCTGGGACGTCCCCATCCATCCTTCTGTCTGTGCTGCGCGTGGTCCCACCTCTGCCCCAACCAGTACAGCCTGTATCTGTTGCTTTCTTTGCCACTGTGATGAAATACAGAGGCAGTGAGCATCCAGGAGGGAGGGGTTATTCAGGCTCAGGTTCAAAGGCACCGTCTGTGGTGGTGGTGGGAGGGTCGCGGCAGCAGGAGCAGTCAGGAAGCAGAGAAGGGGCAGAGTGCTGCTGCTGAGCTCACGTTCTTCTTATGTGACCCAGGACCCCAGTCCGTGGAGTGGCCCCACACGCGTTAGGGGAGCCCCAGGACCCCAGTCCGTGGAGTGACCCCCACACGTGTTAGGGGAGCTCCAGGACCCCAGTCCGTGGAGTGACCCCCACACACATTAGGGAAGCACCAGGACCCCAGTCCGTGGAATAGCCACACACACATTAGGGAAGGGTCTTCCTACCTCAGTTGGCCCAACTGTGAACTCCCTTGAAGACCTGCCCAGAGGTTTGTACATATATAGTTCTAAGTCCTGTCGGGTTATCAGTATTAACAGTGTCGCTGACCTTTGACCTGTGATCTGGCTACACTGTCCCTTGCTTAGCTTCTGCTGGCTCTTCAGTGCCTCCTGTCACCTGGTCTCCTACCTCTTCGTACTCACATTCTAGGACTGGCCTTAGTTCCCCTCCTATTCCTCCTTCCCCATCTTTCCCTCTCCAATCTCCTCCCTAATTCTGCTTGACTGCCCTCCAGGAAGCATCCCCCTCCTGCTTCCTGTGGCTTCTCAGGTGCTGGCAACAGATACCATTGTCTGTCACAGCTATCCACTCCACTGTCTGCCCCAGCAGCAGGCCCCAGGGCTTGACTGACTGGCTCTAGAACAGAGCCATTGTCGGGGGGCTCAAGTGTGTGGCACGCGGTGACCACACAGGTGGAATTGTGTTCGCAGGAAGGAGTAGCTGAGTTAGAAAAGACTGCATAACCGGTGGCTTCTTATGTTAGTCCTTGAGTCTTCGAGCTCTTTCTTTGCTTAGGAATGGGGGTCTCTAGGAGGCTCCATTAACATATTGTATGGCATGAATCCAACAGAAACCCCAAAAGCTTCAGCAGGTACTAGCACTTCAGGAAGGACTGCTGTCAAGTATCCTCATGTGGGAAGCAAGAGGAGGGGCACCTGAGCTGAAGCAGAGAAACTTGAGAGGAAGAGAAAAGTCTGAGACAGGAGAGGAAGAGGGCGGTCATGCCCTGACAGGAGGGGAACCTGAGAGGAAGGTGTCTGAGGGGTGTCTGAGATGGGGGAGGGACGTGAGAAGAAGTGGGGGACAAAGGATCTCAGCAAAAACTGGAACCCAAAAGACCAAGAGCTCCAGGTGGGCGTCCACTCTGTCACCTGCAGTGTTGCACACCCGTACACTCTTAAAAGTCAGTTGTGCAAGCGAAACACTCAAATACATAAAAATAGAAAAATAAATTAAAAACTGCCTAAATATCTTCATTTCTGCCAGGCTGGTGAACCTGGGCAGAGGCAGAAGTCTGGGGGGAGGGAGTCTGGACGGGGGAGGGAGTCTGGACTGAGCGCAGAGGGAGGAGGACAGGGTACAGAGCACAGCCCTAACGCAGCCGCCAGCCGCCAGTAGCAGGAGGTGCTTTTCAGGGTGGTGGTTTGCTTTCTTCTTCGTCCAGCCTTTTCCCCAAGGGCAACAACTGTGAAGGTCAAATTTGAACTAAACTAAAATCACCCGCTCTTATGCCCTCTCCATGACCCCCCTAGTTCTCCATGTTCCCCCAAATTCCCAAAACGAGTTGAACTCCTCCCTGGGTATGACTGATGAGGGTATGATTGATGACAGCCACTAACCACATGATTAGTGACAGCTACTAACCACTACCTCAACCTCACCATAACCAGTCAGGTTAAATGTCAGCTACCTCAAGACCCTCTGACAAGGCCATGACCCACTTGTGGTTTTCCCTCTCCAAACTCTAACCTGTAAATGCTCAGCACCGCTCTCCTCCACCGTGGACTGAGCTCGGGCGAGTAGTAAACCCCCTTGTGTTTGCATCAGAGACCGGCTCTGTGGTGGTCTTGTTTGGGGGTCTGGTGACATGGGCACAACACAGGCAGAGCTTTTTCCCGAGTGAAAACTGAAGTTGCAAGGAAAGGTCCATAATAATGTCTTCCCAGCGTGTCTGCACACCCTGCTTCGTAAGACGCCATGACACATCCCGCCAGTTCCTGTACTCACGGCCTCTCTTCTCCTTTCCCCTCCAGTCGTGCCAGGCCGACCTCGTGAAGGACAACGGTCACAAGTACTTCCTCTCCGTCTTGGCAGACCCATACATGCCAGTAAGGACTGAGCCATACTTCCCTCAGGCAGCATGGGATTTGTCTCCGCTCGCACACTGTAGGTTACAGTTCCTCTCTGAGGACCAGGTAGAGAGGTGCTCTACACGGTTACACGTGAATGGCCACTTAGTGCGCACACGGCACACTGCTCCATTTCCTCCTGCCTCAGGTGAAAACGTGGTCTTCCTGCGACAGTCGGTCTCTGACCAGCAGTGGCATCTCCATTACCTAGAGCTGGATCCTGAATAGACGGACAGATGGATGAATAGCTGTTATGTCTGTGATATGGTGCCTCAGATGCCCTGAAGGTCCCTTAATGGGACAAGATGCTAACATTGCTTTACTGAAGGAAAGAAGAGATTGTTTGAAAGTTTGAATTTTATACATACTGTTTATTAAATTGTTTAAAAATAGATAGCATGAATAGGGCATAAGTAGTTTTCTCGTGGTATTTTACTATCAGTTTCTTTAGCCTCCCTCTGGCTGCTCAGCACAGCCATGTAGACAGAGCAGCCGTGCACAGTCGCTCCTTCATGCGCTCTCTTCCCAGAGTCTGCGTGCAGCGCCACATCTGCGCTTAGGTGCTGCCTCTGAGAGGAACTTTTGTGTCTGAATTCTTCCTCTGGCTGTTTTAACTCACCCCCAGCACAGAGCTGAGGACTGCAGGGAAGGGGAAGAGCACTGAGGATGGCTGGATAGGGCAGTTTCTTTTTTTTTTTTTTTAAGATTTATTTATTTATTATGTATACAACATTCCTTCCATGTATGCCCGCACTCCAGAAGAGGGCACCCGATCTCATTACAGATGGCTGTGAGCCAACATGTGGTTGCTGGGAATTTAACTCAGGACCTCTGGAAGAGCAGTCAGTGCTCTTAACCTCTGAGCCATCTCTCCAGCCCAAGGGCAGTTTCTTTACTCATGCCCATCAGCCAGTTTGTTTTCTTCAGAAACAGCTTGCTGCTGCTTCAAGAAAACACTGCCTTTACCTGTCCTGAAATAAACAGGCAGATCTTGGGGAAGCACAGAGAAGAGCCCCTCCCCCGGGAGAAAACACTGGAGGTGATGACTCAGGGCAGGCACCACCAGGAAGAGAATCATGAAGGCACCACCAGGAGAGGAAAAAGCAAAGGCATGAAATGGGGGCGTGGGTGAGGGAGGCCGCTCTTGCTGACGTCATCCCAGAGTGCTGCAGGGGGAGGAGGGCAGAGTCTGAACAGACTGGAGCTTGGAGACCTGAAGAAAGAAATGAACAGCGAGCCCTTCCCAGACACAGCACAGTCAAAGTAACGAGAGTACCAGGATCATAAGGGAAACCCCCAAAGCCACCAGAACCCAGAAAGGGCAGACAGCAGCTGCAGTGATGGCAAAGGATTATGTGTGGCCCTTCCAGCAACTGCCGCATGGAGTTCCCTGCTGAGTTATGCTGTATGGGGAAGGGGAAGTACAGACACTTTATGACAAAGAATGACAGCTTGAAACTCTAGCACCTGGAAGGTAGTGACCTGGTCTCTGTTACAGTGAACTCAGTAGACGTTGCCATAGGAAAGCAGCAACAAGCAAGGGCAATGGCCAGAATGCTGGTGCTGCCAAGGTAACCATTAATTAGAAGGGCTAGAGGTAAGAAGGGATGTTGGGTGAAGAGACTCCAAGAGCCTGGCAGCAGTCCCAGAGGAATTGAGGATTAGACTCTCGATGTGCATGTGAAAAGGTGAGGCACCGTGAAGAAGTCTTACGGGCTATTGATCTGTCCAGCAGGAGACCAGAATTGAAGCAAAGATTGCTACATTCAGCCAGGTGTGGTGGAGCACACCTTTAATCCCAGCAGGCGGATCTCTCTGTGTTCAAGGCCAGCCTGGCCTACAAATTGAGCTTCAGGACAGCCAGAGTTGTTACACAGAGAAACCCAGTCTTGCAGCACCAAAAAAGGGAAGAGTAGACAGCATGAAGGTGGACCTTTCGGACCAATGAGCACCACCAGCCGCGTTAACTGCTGTGACAGACCTGGGCGTGTTCTGTGGCATTAGCTTCCAAGGGAGAAGCCAGTCTGTCCTCAGCCCAAAGGCCAGTGCATGCTGCAGACGGCAGGTGCGCAGTCCTTGGAGACAGGTGAGTCTCTGGGAAAGGGCACAACCATGGTGCATTTTGTTTTCCAGGCTGAACATAGGACCATGACGGCCTTCATTCTTGCTGTAATCGTCAACAGCTACACAACAGGGCAAGTAAGTGTCATAGCAGCTCCAGCCCCCTGAGCTCCAGGAATGGCAGAAACGTGACTTGTCTCAAACGTATTCTGGCGCAGGGGGCCAGCCCTTTCCTTAATCTGAATGAGACAGTGTAGTGTAGTGTGGTTGAGCCCCAGCCCTGGGTACGAGGGCAGAGGACCACTTCTCTGTGTCCTGTGTCCAGGAAGCCTGCCTGCAGGGGAACTTAATCGCCATCTGCCTGGAGCAACTCAGTGACCCACACCCCTTACTACGCCAGTGGGTGGCCATTTGCCTGGGAAGGATCTGGCAGAATTTCGACTCTGCGAGGTGGTGTGGGGTGAGAGACAGCGCTCACGAGAAGCTCTACAGCCTCCTCTCCGACCCCATCCCTGAGGTGAGCTGTCCTTGAGAAAAGTAGCTTCCAAGTTGGGTCAAAGTACGTACAATACGTGCTCTACACCTAGTCCTCCAGGGTTCTGTTTGTAAAGAGGTCATGTAGGACCGGTGTGTAGAAGTCTGCCCTTATGCAAATGTAACTGCACCCAGAATCTCCAGGGCCATGCACAGATTCCCAAGATCGGCTATTGAAACCTTGCTACAGAGTCACACACTTAACTTTTCATTCATAGTGAGCCAACTCTGTATGCAGTAGGGTATCTCTGCAAGCTGGCACAGCCTCACCTAGGTCTAAGAAACCAACTTGAACCATTCTGTACTACACTCTGGACCTGGGCAGAGAGACAGACAGACAGACATACCAGTCAGGGCCTTGTGCCTCATGGTTTGGCGCAGGCTAGAGAAGGTGTTGGCACTGCCTTTTCCCTACAGACCAAGACTGTCTGCTGCCAGTCCAGTGTCCAGTATGTTCTGGACTCTCCGGCCCCAGTGAGCAACCACCCACCTCCTTGCTTGCTGAGCCAGCTTAGAGCCTATAAGGGTCCCAGGTGCAGGTATCTGAGCCCTGGCTCCAACAAGTGTCTTCACATCTGGGGGTTGAGGTTTGAACCTAGCAGCCTGGTGCCGGCATTGCTATGGCCACTCATCCCACAACCCCATGTTTAAACTTTCTGGAAGGGTGCTCAGGGAAGTGTATTTACTTATTTTCCAAGTTGTTCTCAGACGGGTTTAAGGACACCAAGCATAAAAATTCAGAGAACAGGGGCTGGAGAGATGGCTCAGCGGTTAAGAGCATTGCCTGCTCTTCCAGAGGTCCTGAGTTCAATTCCCAGCAACCACATGGTGGCTCACAACCATCTGTAATGAGGTCTGGTGCCCTCTTCTGGCCTGCAGGCATACACACAGACAGAACATTGTACACATAATAAATAAATAAATATTTAAAAAAAAATTCAGAGAACATGATTTTGAGAACGCAAGGACCCAAAAAGCTGGAGGAGGGTCAAAGCTAGCAGAGGCAGATCCGTGTACCTTACAGAGATGGCCATGAGTTGTCGTGAGCCTCCCCTGATCCACAGTCACCAGGGAAGCACAGTTATTCCTCGCCTGGAGTCAGCTGGGCCCCCTGGGAACTGCTCAGTCTAAGTCATCTGTAGGCTCAAACACAATGGAAACTAGAGAATCGGTGCTGTGCCCGACTGTGGACAGCAGTGTCTAAGATGGGAATGAGTGTAGCAGAGCGCCATTGAGAAGGGTGTCGTCCCCAGCTCAGGAGCAGCCTTTGGTTTTGTCACTCTGAATCGGTCTTCACGTTCAGTGGGTGGAAAACCAGACGGGTCCTTAGGGGCAGGTTGAATGCAACTATTTGTTAATCCATCTGCTCCATGCCAAAAATGCTGTTGCCTTCCAGCACACAGCTGTGTGGTCCTGGCAGCCTGCTCGCTTTGTCACGCAGCAGGGAGACCACAGTGGGCATGGGCCGTCCCACAGGGTGACTCGAGACTGGGACTTCTGCTGTGCCCATATGACTAGATCAGCAACATAAGTAGAGTGTGTACCCGCACAGGGACCTCTCTGCTGAGGGAGAAGAGACATGGCAGGCAGCTGCTGCTGCGGCAGCAGAAGTATTGCTTGGAGCCGTGGAGACCCAGGAAATAGTGAGGCCTTGTCAAGGCCTCGGCTTCTCGCTAAGAAAGTACAGGGAGAAGGAAGCAGAGGGGCTCCCATGCCATGCAGAATAGCGAGGGAAATGCGGCTAATCCCTAATTAGGGCAGTAAGTGGGGATCTTTGGGCTGGGGCATCTGATCTGGAACTTCCCTCCGGCTTGCTTCCCACTAATCACAAAGCCGAGCATCTGGTTCTTTCCCCTGAATTGCTGATGCACGTGGCATGTTGCCTCCCATGTCCTGTTTGTTTCTGGCCTGGCCCTTTCCTGGGAACACAGTTGTCTGTGGCAGACCCAGGTAGTTCCTTCATTCTGGGAGGGTAGGACATCATCCCAGGTCAGTAGAATATTTATCACACAGGTGGAAAAAACATTTTTGTAGAAGGGAGACCAAGTTATAGGCTGTTTGGATCCCGTGGGGAGTAGGAGACCCTGCTATGGTTTTCAGAAATGATCACTGTGTATTTGTTAATAAGTGAAGGTCCAAGAAGCAGCCATGAGGGACTGTCCACTAGGGTGGCAGTGCAGCCCTGGCTGTAGCTTAAAGGGCAATTCTGAATTGCTCAGTGTACATATCACGTCAGATTTTGGCTAACTCCTTAAGAAATCAGTGCCATCTATCCCCAAACATGCCAGGGACATCTGTCTTGTCTCAGGCCCTCTTGTGGCCTTGGAGAACCCTGAGAAAGTTAGATCTCAACCTCTCTGTAGTTACCCCAAGAGGTAGAATATTTCTTTGCAGAAAAACCTAAAATGAACTTTGATGTGGGAGTGTCATATATCAATCTGTTGATTTCATTGGTTAAGTAATAAACCAACTGCTTGGCCTCATAGCTTAGAACATAGATGGGAGGAGGAAACAGAATAGAATTCTGGGCGGAAGAGGAAGTGAGGTCAGACTCTGCTCTGCTCCCGGAGACTCGACAGCTCTGCTCTGGAGCAGAGACACCAGGATGGATGGAGGCTAGAATCTTCCCGGTAAGCGCACCTTGGGGTGCTTACACACATCATTAGAAATGGGCTAGTCCAGGTGTGAGATTAGCCTTTAAGGGCTAGAGTTCATGGGCCAAGCAGTGTTTAATTGAATACAGTTTGTGTGTTGTTATTTCAGGCATGAGCTAGCCAAGCGGCCGGGGTGTTGGGGACGCAGCCCCGCCGCTTCCATATTTCAACAAAACTTGACAGGAAATCTTGAAATTGTCCAGGGAGGAAGCTCATACCATAGCATGAGGCCCCCTCCTGTCTCCACATCTGGATGTCCCAGCAAAAGGATAGGGGTCTGTTGGGGACAGCCGCAGGAATGCACAGCCACAAAAGAGCAATATTGACTATGTGAGCCACCAAGACCACCTCCAGCTGCTCGGCACCTTCATAACTGCTGACAGGCATCCATGAGAAAAAGCTTTGAACAAACCACTGTCACCAGACCCCAAGACGCAAGGCAGTTCCCATGTCCACCCACGTCTGCATTGAAATGGTCTAGTGAGTTTTTCTTAGTATCGCGGGTGTTTTTTCTGAACTGGAAGACAGGGACTTGCTTTTCTCTATCTGCGATGCTTGGCACCTCTGAGATTCAGCCGCTACCTGTGTGAGTCATAATGCAGACTATAAGGATTTTGGGGTGCAGAGACTTAAAGCAGCCACACCTTATCTCTGGAGATGGCAGTGGCTCCTTGCCTGGGGCCTGAGAGCCATGCGCCTTCCTACTGTAACGCAGTCTGCACCTCGTGCAGCCTCTGGCCTTTTCACTCTCTGTCTCACACTCTGACTGTTCCAGGGCCGTCCTTCTCTTCTGGGGAGGCCAGGATGGTTTGCTCGTGGTCGAGCTGGGATTCCTCCAGCCCTGTGCACAATGTAAAGAGGAGGACTCTGTCTCTCCAAGGTTGGGGTCTGAGCTGAGCTGAGGTCCCTGGGTACCATGGCCAGCCCAGTATTGTTTCCCTCACTCCCCCTGTCCGCTGGGGACTTTACCCTTTCTGGTTTCCAGTTAGCTTCTCTGTCTCAAAATGGACCCACACATTCTCCACTTGCCACAACCTCCCCTCCGTGGCTTAGTCCAGCCCACCTTCCCCCCTATCGGCTCTGGGCCAGTCTTCTCCAGAACACCTCTGTCTCTTTCAACTCTGTAATCAAAAATCCACTGTGCACGCCAGTCTGCAGACTCCAGAGGAAACTGCTCCCTCCCCCACAGCCTGGTCATCCCTGAGCTGGGGCTATGCTGTCTCCGCCTTTGGCTCCTGGGCTGCCCACACACACCCTTCCTAATTATCAATACCAGTGTAGCTTTGGGCGTGGAGCATCGTATGGTAAGTGTCTGTGAAATTGAATTGAGCTGAACTTATGTGAACTGAATTGAATCAGCTTGCAGACAGCCTCAGCAGAAATGCAGATGGCAGATAGACCAGCCGTGGGTGTGACTGATTGCCTGTCTCCTGCCCTGCAGGTCCGATGTGCGGCTGTGTTTGCCCTTGGCACCTTTGTGGGAAACTCTGCTGAGAGGACCGACCACTCTACCACCATCGACCACAACGTGGCCATGATGCTGGCCCAGCTGATCAATGACGGGAGCCCCATGGTCCGGAAGGTATGTGGATGCCAGCTCAGTAGCTGAAGTAGGGGCCTACGAGCTGAGCCAGCCCAGAGGGCCTCAAATCGCCTGTGTGTGCTAGTCCATCTTTTCAGAGTGTGCCCTCATTGCTCATGTCTGTTCCCCTGAGGGCACTGAGCTGACCAGGTCTCCAGTCTTCACACAGCAGCCTTCTCCTCACCCGGGCACCAGCACGTGGCACTGGGTCTCTGCAGAACAGAGACAGGTCTGTGCAGTGTGTCCCCTGTTCCACCTCTCACTCGCCTACAGCAAAGTCTGTCTTCTCTGCTCCCTAAGGTTCACACCTCCATAAAAAGATGTTCCACATCCTCCTGAGCCGGCAAGGGCCTTTGAGGGAAATGCTCTGACTTCCTGACCTGGTGATCCTGGCGGCTGCTCTTAGAGCAGACTGCCCGCAGTGACCATGGGCGCCCGTTGTCCGTGAGAGCCACTGGGCTTCTTGCTCAGCATTCCTTTTCTTTTTTTGAAAAAGGTTGTTTTGAGACAGGGGTTTTTTTTTTGTGTAGCCTTGGCTTTCCTAGAACTCAGAGATCTGCCTGCCTCAGCATCTGATGATGTGGAAGGGGCAACGCCAAGCCTCTGTCCTGAGCAGCGTGACCTATGGGTCCCTGGGCACAGCTGAGGTATGAGTGCAGAGCAGCTCAGCATCACGTCTTATGGTGAGCCGAGCTTTGGAAGACATACACGGCACGGCGAACTGTTGGAAAAACCAGTGTAGAGCTAGGAGAGATGGGAGGAGCAGAGAGAGAGAGAGAGAGAGAGAGAGAGAGAGAGAGAGAGAGAGAGAGAGAGAGAGAGAGAGAACACACCCAAGGAGACCTGGCAGCCCTATCTGCAGCCTGCTGGTCAGCTCAGGGCAGCCTCAAGGGTCTCTGACAGACCTCGGTTCTCTGCAAACATCTTTCTCTCTACGGAGTGGTGCTGGTGTCCACAAGTCTACATTCTGTTTCATTTCCTTTTGACTCTGAGTCTCTAAACATTTAGGTTGTGGTGCTATATCATCATAAACTACATGTAAATCCTGTCTCCCCAGACTCTAGCATTTAGGCCTAGGTGTCATGTCTTAATTCAAGGACTTTTCTCATCCCTCATAGGGACTAGAACCTACTATAGCTGAGGAAGCTTCTTGCTCGCTGTAAAGAATGCTTCAGCTAGTCAGCTGTGCCCACCAGTCTCTGGAGCAGGATCAAAAATGGCAGTTTTGGCCAGAGTCACAAGCCTAATTTTAAATCCGTCAGGGGTGTGGAGTTCACACTGTGGCTTCAGAAAGCCTGGGGGTGGTAATTCCTGCCTAGCAGTGAGCGAACAGACTGGGGCAAGTGTGCCTGGCAGCTGGGGACACCACTTGCCAGCCACTGGCCTGCTGCCTTCACAGCCCCAGGCTTCCTTGATTCCCCTCCTGGTCATGATGCCAAGTGAGCCTTGCCCTGACCCGCATTTCCCAGAGTCACATTAGGGTTAGCTTCAGACCTGCTGTCCTGCCGGGTTCCTGCCGCCATAGACATGATTGTCCCTTCTCCCTCTCAACAGGAGCTGGTGGTGGCTCTGAGTCACCTTGTAGTTCAATATGAGAGCAATTTCTGCACTGTGGCCCTGCAGTTCATGGAAGAAGAAAAGAACTACCCCTTGCCTTCTCCCGCAGCCACAGGTATAGCTCACAGGGAGCCCAGGACCTGCTTCCTGGCCTTTACCAAATCTGTCAGTGGTCTGGGTTGGGCCAGGTCTGAGCATGGCTTTCTGGTACTGCTTGGGTGGTCCGTGGTACTCCTGTTGTCTCAGGCCTTTGGAAGAATACAGGTGCGGGGAAAGGGCTGTGCTGACCCTCTTACTCTTCTCCTTCCTTCTTACCTTTCTTGGAATTTAAATTTGGGGATATCTTGGAAGATGGCAACCTCTGCCGTGGGGCATGCTGAAAAGAACATTAACCATCTTCCTGTGATGAGTAACTGCATCACGTTGTTGTTGGCTTCATGTTTCCATGACTCACGTTAGGAAGCTCATTTGTCCTTTTCGCTGGAGGATGCAGTCATCTTCCACGTTCCTCTTCATCACCCTCCCTCCAGATCACAGCCGGGATCGTGAGCAATGGCAGAGCCTTCTTCCTTTCAGCCAGGGTACTGGGCGTCACTGTGATGCTGCCTAGGCCACCGAATACCTGGAATGGCCTCACAGCTACTACTGCCCTTCTGGTTCATGCTGTCTTGTGATTTAATCCTTACATGGCTACAAATAGTACCTTTGTCCCACTGAGTCCTGCACGTCAGGAGAGTATCATGAAGGCCCTTCCACGCTCAGTCTTGTACCAGTAACACTAACTGTTCCTGTTGCCATGGCTGCAGGTATCCACATGCCCCCATCCTGAAACTTATTGCTGACTCTTTCTTTTCTTTCTTTTTCCTAGAGGGGGGGAGCTTGACCCCAGTTCGAGACAGCCCGTGCACCCCCAGACTCCGTTCAGTGAGCTCATATGGGAATATCCGAGCCGTCACCACAGCTAGGAACCTGAACAAGTCCTTGCAGAATCTGAGCTTGACGGAAGAGTGTAAGATGCCAGAAACCAATATTTGGGGTGGGAAGGTTCACCGTGCTCTACCAGACGTTACTCTTAAGATGCTACTGTGCCCCTTGGCCCCGCCCTCCAGAACATGGGCCCCGATGTTCTGTGTGACAGCCACCATGACAACTGGCCACTTGTTCCTGGCTTAGCACCAAGAGCAGTCAGGGTCACAATATAGACTTTACAGTTGTACCAGGGCTTGACTGTCCAGGAGCTGTTCCAGGGAAAGGAGTCTACCGGTTGGTGCACACATGTGTCCATTAGTATGCCCGGTGTGTGTATGTGCCCATTGTGAAGAAAGCTCACGTTTCAGTCAGACAGGCCATTAACTGTAAGACCGTGACCTATTTATTGCCTGTCATTTTCTGGCCAGCGGGCAGCTCAGTGGCCTTCTCCCCTGGGAACCTCAGCACCAGCAGTAGCGCCAGCAGCACCTTGGGAAGCCCTGAGAACGAGGAGTACATCCTGTCCTTTGAGACCATCGACAAGATGCGGCGTGTGAGCTCCTACTCGGCGCTCAACTCCCTCATAGGTGAGTCCCTGTCCTCACCCTTCTTCCTGCTGCCTGCGTGCCTTCCCGTGCCCAGGATTTGGTCCACCCCAAAACAGCACGTGTCTTTATTTGGTCAGATAAATGAACCAGAACTGTCTCCATTGGATGCAAAGAATAGGAATTGTCTGGAGCTTGAAGAAGTGAGGAGAACATTTTGCAATGGAATATTTTACAGGCTGGTCCAGGGATCTGTGAGCTTGCTGGCTTTGTCAGGCAGGAGAGCTGCCAGACAAGTCCATCTGCCTTTCTTTGCATTTCTCGTGTGTGCTAGACCCTGGCAGTGTGGAGCGCTGGCTCGCAGATAAGACATCCTTCCAGCAAAAGATGAAGTGGGGTGCACCAGGTTTCTGGTGGGCAAAGCCAGCAGTGCTGTTCTCTGCCCCTAGTGCCCATGGCAGCCTCACAGTGAGCAGTGGGAGGTCAGAGCACAGGGTGTCACTCACCCTGAAGCGACCTCAATGCCCACCTGCTAAAACTCCACCAAGCCTAGCAGCTTGACCCTTCACTGCCTAGAAATTGGGGTTTAATGGCCATTGTTCTCATTCTGCCACGAATGGTAACATCTGGACTTCACTGACGTCACAAAGGAAATGAGAATTAGCACTGCGTTTTCTTGCTGTGCACCTGTGCTCATTCTCAGACTGTGGAATTGAATTGTAAGCCCTAAGCAGACCACACTTCTCTTGTACTTCATCTTGCTGAGACCCTGTGTGACATGCACAGCATAGCCTGGGGCCCTGGAATCTTCCTTAGGCTCAAGGGCTAGGAGCCAGGGCCTTGTTGTGGAGCAGCTCAGCCTGCCTCTTGCTCTCTAATCAGTGAATAGCAGCTTTGCCTTCAGTTTTGATCTCGGAGATGGAAGGGTTAAAGAATCCTGTTTTGTTGGGAGCCGTAACAGATGGTGCAGAGCAGCTCCTATAGAGGAGCCAGCCCAGCTATGTCTGCTTCACCCTTCCCCACCTACCCTCTCAGGAGTAGGTATCTGTGTGGTAACACCTCATACTGGTGTGTGTGCGTGTGCGTGTGTGTGTGCGTGTCTGTGTGTGCGTGTATGTGTGTGCGTGTGTGCGTGTGTGTGTATGTATGTGTGTGCGTGTATGTATGTGTGTGCGTATGTGTATGTGTGTGCGTGTGTGTGCGTGTGTATGTGTGTGCGTGTGTGTGTGTGTGTGTGTGTGTAAAAAGTTTTATCTATATATCAATTCAAATATTGGAAAACTGCATAGCAGTGCAGCTGGAGAGATGGTTCAGCAGTTAAGAGCACTGGCTGCTCCTGCACCTGCAGAGGACCTGAGTTTCATTCCCAGCTCCCCAGAAGTGGCTTGTAGCTGTCTGTAGCTCCAGTTCCAAGGGATCTAATACCGTCTTCTGGCCACGGCAGGCACCAGGTACACCCACGGTACACGGATACACATGAGGAGGGAGTTTCCAAGTGAGGAGAGTTTAGGAAGGAAATAAAACAGCAACCTTCCTCCCTGCCAGCCTTGTCCCCGTTCAGTGTGGTGCCACACACATGCACACGCAGACCTCAGTGCTTACAGCGTGGTTAAGATTCATAACTTGCAGAATCCCGTTACTGGCAACCCTTGCCTGTTTAAAGCCAATTTCTTCTTTCATTTCAACCAAAGAACAGCAATCTCTTTAGACCCTTTCTCTGAATATTGCAAAAGAAGTTTTTAAAACCATGGCAACCTAGAGCATACATTTATACCTGTTCTCACAAAAGCAGCTTCCTTCCAGGTACCCTGTCCTGCTCCCCTCCCAACTCTGCTCAGAGTGCGCCACCATCGCCCGGCCCACATGTGGATCTTTGACCTCACCACCCACTCCTCTTGTTCTCAGTCAGTCGTGTGCTGCTCTGTGCTCCCTTCCGCAGAGCTCAGAGCTCTTGGTGGGGCAGTGTCCCCACTTGGCAAAGGATCTCTGTTGTTTCTGTGCTATACTGACCCAGCTGCATTGAGGCTCATGGCTGCCATTTTTATTATCAACTTTCTGAAGAGCTATATTTTTCTTTAAAAATTTTATTACTATTGACTACGTTTATGGTGTTGGCCACGGCGTACGTGTGCAGCTAGGAGGACGGCTTTCTGGAGTCGGTTCTCTCCTTCCACTTTCACCTAGACTCCGGGGCTTGCACTCAGCTTCTCAGTTTGTGCCGCAAGCAGTTTCTGCTGACTTAGCCATCCTGCTGGCTCTAGAGCTGTTTCTTGCTGATGTGTATACAGCGAGCAGCCTTGCCTGTCCTCCCCATCCACCTAGTTCCCTGTGTCCCTGATGCCCGCCCATGAGAGCAGGTCAGCACAGAGTGGGCCAACTGTACAGCTCCTCCTTACCCCTTGGCAGTAATGCCCACTGTGCACAAAGCCCAGGCCCACACCACTTTGAACTCTGTCCACAAATGCCCTCCTCACTCCCTGCCAAAGCCCCAACCCCAGTCAGGAGGGTAGTGGCACTGTGTTTACTCTGCCTTCTTCCTTGTCACCTGCACCTTCATCAGAGACACATGCCAAAAGAATTTCAGTCTGGAGGCTTGAAAGGAAGGGGTATGGTCTCACTTCAAAGGCACTGGGAGCCTCAGAGGACAGGACCAGGGTTTTTACAACTCTGCTGCGCAGTGACATTTTATAGCGTATTGAAAATGCATCACCATGGCAACAGATCCGAGGCAGAGCTGATACTGAAGTGAGGACAGAGGAGTCACAGACCTGCAGGGCTGCCCTCACCTCTGTGCGGCCCAGAGCCCTGCTCGTGTGTGTTCCTATGGGAGCCAGCAACTCTGCAACCTAAGCCTAGAGCCCTCGGTGGGGCAGGGCCCAAATCCCAAACTGCTACTTCCCTCAGAAGCAGGGGACAGAATGACTCCAGGGAGAAGGCAGCAGCCCGGAGCTCTGTGAGTACTGGTCAGTCAGCACGAAGGTGACAGTCAGCCATTAGCCTGCTTCCCTGCTTTCCCCGTTTCCCTCTTGACAAAGAGTCGGGAAGCACAGAGATTTTACTTCCCAGCCCATAGCAGTGATGGAGTGAGGTTGCCCCGAAAGATAGAGTTCACTGCTATCTGCCTTGACCGGAAGGGATCCAGCAGGGACTTGCTGAAGAAAGTTGAGTACTGGGAATGTAGCTCAGTGGTAGCACACTCATGGAGCAGACAGGTTGGTCCCCAGGTTCTGAACGGAGGCCCAACACCTATGAATTTGATTCTTCTCTCCAGAAAAGCCTTGGTTAAAGCCAAGCTAGTGGCTTGTACAAGGACGCTGAGGGTCAACTAAAAAAGCCATGCAAATACTCCAGGTGCCACTGAAGCCAACAGTCACAGCCACACAGGTTGGGGATGCCAGAGCCAAAGGCTCCATCCGGCCAGCAGCGTAGACTCGGGAGGGAAGATGTCACCAAATTTGCTCTGAAGCACCAGGGCAGGGGGCACACACACATATACCACCACCATCACTCTAGCCTTGGGACCTGCGTTTCTGAAGACTGTCAGAATGGCCATTCCCAGGTCAGACTGCAGCCTCATGCCCAGTGGAGCCCCTCTCACCAACAAACTCTGGTTCGGAGAGATGGCCCTCCATCATCTGCTGCTTGGAAAGGCCATTGCCCTAAAAATCAATCCTAAAACATCACGGTCTTTTATTACTTCTAGTCTAGACATGAAAATGAATCCTTGGCCTTCCAGGGCTCAGCGAGTGGCGAGCTGTAGGGCAAGGCCCAGCCGCTGCTGCTCTGCTCTGCGGCAGGACCCAGTGTCCCACGGTCCCCATGGAGCCTGGTCCCTGTGTGAGGGTGGCAGGCTGTGTTTTGAGGATAGCAGATGTTAAAACAGGGCAGGAGCCAGAGGAAGTCACTCCTGGCAAACCAAGGGAAGATGTTTGCGATCGCGGCTTCGCTTTCCACCAGGAAAATTGTGCTCTCGTCACAGTCCCAGGGATAAAGCTCAGAGGTTGTTTGTCTCTCTGTTGTGTCCTGAGTCAAGATCTAGAAAGTCAACCCAGTAATTGAAAAGTTGTTCTAAAGTAAATGTAGTATCTACAAATGTCTCCCTTCCTCTGTGTCCTGTGCACTGTTTGGCCTTTCTGGCAGTGTTCTATAGTTCCTGGTTCTGAACAACCCCCCCCCACAGGAGTCTGTGTCTGTCAGCCCAGCACATGAGGCCAAGACTCTGGGACCCCACCTGTGCCTTGCTACACTGTTCAATTTACGGACTCCAGCTGCGTCTGCATGTTCAGTCACTAAACCGACAGATGGGCAACATAGAAGCCTCATTTGTCATGCCTGCCCTCCCCTCCCGCTGCCGGCATTGCATCTACCCATCCCCTTCCCAGGCTGTGACGGGGTCTGCCATCTGAGTCACACAGGTTTGCCATCAGCATCACGATCCTTTCTCAGCTGTGTCACATGGCCGCTGAGCTTTGCAGGAAGCTGCTTCCGATGTGTCACTCCCTGGAGGACGAGGCGGCCTGTGAGCACTTGCTGCCAGCTGGAGAGGGGCTGCAGCTCCATCAGGGGCCAGTTCCCCATTTCTCTCAGGTGAAGCTTCATGCAAAACACATGACATCTTTTCCTTCTTGAATGTCATTCTCTAGAGTACACCTCTCCTCTCAAAAAGGCACAGAGATACAATTGGTGCCTGGCAACCCCGTACCCCAGAGCTGGAAGTCAGATGTGACGGTGTTTGCCCAGAGAAGTCCTGGGCTGGCTGCACTAGTTTCCATAGACTTCAGTTGTAAATCTTGCCTGCTGTTTGGTTGGATCTGCTGATTCTAAGCTATGGCCACATAAGAAAGCGAGCATATAGCGAGCAGGCTGCTTTCATTGGATTGTTCCTGCCGCTGGTCAGCCCAGGCTTGTGGGCTTGTATGTGGTTTCATTTCATCACTTCCAGGTTTACCACAGCCTAGGTCTCCGGCACATGTGCCTCCCGGGCTCAACTGTGAACAGAGCCAGTACTGAAGGCCTTAGGAACTACTGAGTGTGTGTCTGTGAGTGTGTGCCGTGCCCACAATGCTCCTGTAGGACATGCCATCTCTGTAGTCATGATCTGTCACCTTAAAGAGTTGCCTGTCTCAGAGGCTGATGACATAGCTTAATGGTTGAGTACTTACTACTCTTGCATGAGACCTAGCTCTAATTCCCAGCACCCACACAACAGGTCACAACCACATGCAGCTCCAGTTCTAGGGGATTTGATGCCTCTTCTGACCTCTGTGGGTTCTTGCATTCACATGGTACATATACATACCCATTTTAAAAATTAAATACTTTTGAAATGTCTTTCTTACAACTCAGGCCTTCAGTGATAGGCAGTAACATTTTAGTTGCCTAAGCAGAGAAGCCATGTGTTCAGGAGCTGAGAGACTTCTGCAGCCTCTTGGTGAGTGGATATACATGACTGCCATGGCTCAGGGTTCACCCTACACAGCCCAGGATTAATGGTTGATTAATCAGTGATAAGTGGGTGTAGGCCCAGCAGTCATCCGGGATGCACACCTGTGTTGAAGTCATGCACTCAGTCCAGCTCATGACTTTGAACTTGAGTGTATTCATGAACCTCATTCTCACTGAGTGACACTGTGTCCTCTGGCAGAGTTGGCTAAGCAAGGGACATGGGGTCAGGGCTTGTTTGAAATCTTCCTTCAATCTCCCTTGCTGATACTGAATAAGAACATCTTTTACAGCAAGCAAACTGTTCAGATCCACCCTAAAATACACAATGGCGCTGTCTGTGACTGTCTCCCACATCCACTCCCTACCCTAGAATACAGACAGGGTGGTGCTGACTGTGACCTTCTACCATCCACTCCCTACCCCAGAATACAGACAGGGTGGACTAGGGACTTAGAACAGTGCTGATATATGGAGTGGACAAGAGGAGCCCAACAACTCACAGGCCCAAGTCCACATGTAGAGTATGCTGTGGACAGAACCTCGCACCCCACATAAACTGTGTACTGTACTGCAGGTCATGGTGTCATCTAGGAATCTAGAGCACGAGAGGAAAGATGCGTGGGAACTGGGTAGTCTTCTCCAGCCCACAGGTCATCCAGGTGCAGACCCTGACTGCTTTTAGCCATTGTCCTTTAGAAAGACCCATCCTCAAAAGGTGTAGCCTGCCAGGCATAGTGGTGAACGCCTTTAATCCCAGCACATGGAAGACAGAAGCAGGAGGCTCTCTGTAAATTCCAAGTCAGCCTAATCCACATAGTAAGTCCCAGGCCAGCCAAGATACAATATATGTAGTAAGACCCTCTTTCCAAAAAAAGGGAAAAACAAAAGATGAGACCTGGGTAATGACCTGTTTACTGCTAGAATTTTTTTTTTGACATTTGTCTCGTGTGCGTATGTATGTATGTATGTGTGCGCGCGCGTGCGCGAGGGGGGGAAAGAGAGGGAGGGAGGGGGAGAGTGTGAGATGCATGTGGCAGTCAGAGGAAGTCAGTTCTCCATTCTACCACGTGGGTTCTGGGAACTGAACTCGGGTCAAGCCGCAAAAGGGGAAACTCTTGTAATCCCAGCTCCAGTGCTCCCTCCTGACAGCATGGGGTATTCAGAAAACAAGCTGCCTCACCAACCCTTTGTATGCATGGGAACCTACTTGCTACTAAGGAATCTCTGGTTTCTCTTTCCTAGGAGTTTCTTTTAATAGTGTTTACACTCAAATCTGGAGAGTCTTACTACATCTAGCCGCTGATCCCTATCCAGATGTTTCCGATTTGGCCATGAAAGTCCTCAACAGCATCGCTTACAAGGTACGTGCCTGAGAAATTGTCACTAAAGCTCTCGTGTCTGCTCCTGTCGTGAATAGTCAAACAAGGAGCTCCACGGCATCCAGGCCCATCCCATAGCTTGAAAAAATAAATAGAACACCTTTAATCTCAGCATTTGCGAGGCAGAGGCAGCCCCATCTCTTGAGTTTGAAGCCAGTCTGGTCTACAGATCAAGCTCTAGGACAACCAGGGCTACACAGAGAAACAAAACCAAACAAAAAATGGATGGATGGATGATGGATGAATGATAGGTAGGTAGGTAGAACTTTGAGCAAGCATTGTGAGTTTAGAGCTTCGTAATATATCCTGAACTTGACTTGCAGTGTAGCCTCAGATGTCAGTGCTGCCACTGTTTTCCATGATCTCCATGTCTGTGAGATCCGTAGTGATTTCCTCTCCTCCAGCTCCAGGTCTGGGCTCTTGTGCTCACTTTTTCCTGTCCTGTTTTTATTTCCCACTTGACTTAGCTGTTCCTGTTTTGGGTTTTTTTGTTCTCATTCCTCAAGTAGAACAGCATGGTCTTCTTTGGGGATTATTGCTTCCTCCCTTAGCAGCCCTGGGGATCTGACCTAATCCTTTCCTATGCACTTTCCCAGCCTTGAGGCTGCTCATCCCACTCACTGACCTTCCTTGTGGCCTTGGAAACACCCTTCTCTCCTGCACTCTACCCCGCAAGTCCTCTCTCCTCTTCCCTCCACCTCCTCCCTGGATCTTGGTTGGTTATAGCACTGGGCTCGGTGGGGTTCCCCTTCTCTGCTGCTGGTGGGTACTGGCTGGAAGCCACTTGCCCCATAAACTGGGATAGTTGTTCTGCAACTCAGAGGCGTCCCTGGCCACTGTACATGTAGTTTCTGAAAAGAGTTGTTAGTGTTTTTCTAATTGTTTATTTAAGATAGACAGTTCAGGTCTCATAAGTAGAACAAACTAGAAGTCATTCATTATGAATAAAAACTTCTGTAATTTTTTCATAAAATTTTGAACATGCAGAAAAGTTGCAAGGAGCGTAGAGAAACACCACCCTACCTGGTATTCAGTCCTCAGCTGACCCCATTATACTGGGACTTGTGCCAGGTAGAAAGGGACCAGGACCATCCCCAGTGGGGTCTGGAGGCCGAGTGGGTCTCTGCAGCAGATGCACCTGTGCATCTAGTCCTGCCTTCTCCTTGGCTGATTGACAGTTGACTCACTGAATCCAGCTGCTGCCTTCTCAGCCCCTTCTCGTCTCACACGTGATAGTCACAGCCTCCTTGTGCCCAGCTTCGGAAGACTGCAGTGGTCAGCCTCGTCCTCTGTTAAAGCAGCACTGTGAGTGCCACACAGTGTATTCTGGGTTTCAGACTCAAGCTGAGGTCACACTTATGGATATCCGAAGCATAGACTTGTTGGTCCAGGGGTAACTTTCACTGCTTTCCGGCTCGGTGATTCCGGCTTAGTACCAAAGTATGGAGCATGCCCAGCCTGGGGCAGCCTGACTTGTTCAGTTCAGACTAACTTGCCCTTCTCCAGGGGAGATATAGCCCCACTCACTTTCTAACCTGGCACTGCCTTTCACCGTGAGCTTCAGCCCAGCTCACTCCCTTGATTATGTGCGACCCACTGCAGAGACCCCACCCTCAGTGGACAGTCTACCCAGTGTGCCAGTACCAGTTACTGGCCTAATGAAATACTGCAAGTTTTATTGTTTAATAAAAATTAAATTATTGTTTAAATAATAAATTATTGCTTTAAATAAATAAAATTATTGTTTAATAGAAAATTAAACAGTAATTATAGTATGTATTTGTGGTATGCTATGGTTTGAGGCCAAAGGAATTCAGGCCAGAGGAAAATAGGAAACAAGAGAGAAAGGGAGAAGGTGGGAGTCTGGCTGGAGGAAGGACTTCCCTGGTCTGCCTGCTGTGTCTTAGGGAAGGTCTTCCCTACCACTCCCGTGGACATTCTACTAGCATCTCCCGCCTAGTACAGTCTCAGGTCGGGTCCTTATTACATTTTTATTTGGGGGGGGGGGGGTGCGTGTGTCCTTGTGTGTGTCTGTGTCCATGCCACAGCACTTGGGGAGATCAGACAATGGGAGTTGGTTCTCCCTTTCTACTATGTGGGTCCCTCAAGCTTGGGTCTTTAAAATTATTAAGTCAGGCAATGGTGGTACATGCTTTTAATTCTAGTACTCAGGAGGCAGAGGCAGGCGGGTCTCTGAGTTCAAAGCCAGCCTGGTCTGCAGAGTGAGTTTACACAGAGAAACTATCCCCATGGACACTAAGCCTCTGCAGTTTATGCTCAAAGTTTGTAGGCAGTTCCATTCCCTCGTTACAGTTCTCTGGCACAGAGGTGCTGGTGGAGATGTGAGGCCGCTTCCTGACCATGACCGTGCCCACACAAGCTGTGCAGGTTGAGCCCATGTCTGGGGTGTATGGGTAATGGCCAGTCAGGGCCAGTCTGCGTTTCTCTTTCAGTGCACTGATGGATTTGCCCTTACAGGTACTGTGCTTGGATTATTTAACACTGTAATCTCGGTGCCTGATACTGAATTTCGCGCCTGTAAGTTCAGTTCTGCAGACACCCTTGCTGTTAAACAGTGTCTTTCAACCTAGGTTTGACTCTGAGGTTGTTTCATAAGTGCAGCTCTGAGCCGGGAGCCCATATGCTCCACTGTAAAGTAATGTGGGTCCTGCCTACCAACTGCCATATTAGCACGCTACAGTCACCTTAGAAAACAGTCTTGCACTCTCAAGACAGCAGTCTGCGGGGAAGCCCAAACCCCCAGCAGAGCAGCATTTGGCCTCTGTATCTGTTCTGCTATAATGACAGATCCCAGTGTGCATAAGCCACCAGCTGGAGGTACACCACAGCCGGGTGTGTGTGCGTGTATGTGTGCCTGTGTGTGTTTAGAATAAGCAATACTGAAGAATTTGGGAACATAAACATTATGGAAATTTTTTTGTGTCTTAATTTTAATTTTAAAAGATGCCTGCTTCTCTAGAAGCCAAAGAGATTGTATTTCACTTCCTAAAGTAATGAACCTATTTTGCATTATTTAACTCTGAAGCCAAATTTTGCTCATCAGAGTCAAAATAGCCTTATTACTGTGGAATGCCCCCTAGAATTCTACATTCAAATGTAGAAGCTGCTACTAGCTGTGTCTGAAAGAACCCACGCTGCTTGACAGCCATAGCCTGATTTCACATTTGTGTTTCTCCTTCCGGGAGCTCTGAAGCCACACAGAGGGAGGAGGAGGAGGAGGAGGTAATGCCCTAAGGAGCCATCTGTGGCCCCATCCGCTCCTTTTCTCTGCCCTTTCCTGTGAACTCACGGAAGTGTAGTGACACAGCCTCTAGGTCCCTCCAGGAGCCACACCGTCAGCAAGACATGTGCAGGCCAGGCGCTCTGGAAACCGAACACTAACCCTTAACCAGGGTAAAGTGTCAGAGCTCAAGCAGATGGAGACTGATTCTCAGAGGGGCATATGCAGAAGCCTGAAGGAAAGTTCCCCCGGGTTCTTAGTGGGGTGCTTACTAGCACGCCCTAATTCATAGGTCTATCCCCAGAACCCATACAACTAGGAGTGGCTGTGCAAACCCGACATCCCAGCACTAGGGAAATGGAGGATGGGGAATCAGAAGTCTAAAGTCATCCTCAGCTAGCTAGCAAGTTCAAAGCCAGCCTTAGACACAAAAAAATAGCTCAAATAAAAATAAAAGCATTGTTCGATTAAACATGTAACCTAGCCTCTCTGGTGGGAGGAGAGCCATGAGTTTGAGGCCAGCCTGAGCGCAAAGTAAGACCATCCGTTCTGTCGCCCAGCTTCCCTTTGCCACACAGTCACTTGGAGGAGCACTTCCACAGTGCCCTGCCCTCGCCAGGCAGCCCTCCGTGTTCAGGAGCGCCAGTCCCAGACCAGTGAGGCTTGGTGGGGACATTCACTGCCAAGTTTCTGAGGTTCCTGTCTGTTTGGCTCTGACTTCCAGCATACTTGTGACATTCTAGTTGGACGGCTGTGACAGCGCTGAGCCATGGGTGAGACTGGCTCCTGGTGTCCCAGGATAGAAGCCCAGGTGCAGTTGGGATGCTCAGGCACCTCTAGCTCCCATCTCTGTCCCCAGCTTCAGATTTAGCTTCCTGATTGTTCCTGGCCTGGAGTTAGCTTGGCCAGTAGCATTTGTCTCTGAAAAGCTGCTTGGCTCTGTGACCTCACCTCTACCTCTCCCCTCTGCCTCTCTTCATCCTCTGTGCCCAGATGGGAGTGGGTGCTCAGCCCTTCCTGATGCTGTGTTCATGTCCTAGGGATTCTGTGCAGATTGCATGCCTGGTGACAGTCACAGTCGGGAAGAGTTCCCTGTCTCACAGTGTGCCATTCACTTTCGTCTGTGTCCCAAGCCCAAACTCTATAAGTAGCTGAAGATATTCCATTAAACTTGCCTGTCAGTTAGTCACTGCATGACAGGGTCCCTGAAGGAAGGACTGTACCCCAAGCCTCTTCCGGCCCAACGTTCTCAGTCCTCACAGCCACGTCCCTAAGGGATGCTCTGTTCACACTCCTCACCTGGCCCCACACCTGCCATGGCCAGTGCTGAGGAAACACGAGTAAACTACATGGATGCAGCCGCACGACACCACCAGCTCCCGGCCCTGTCCTGGCCCTGCAGGCCTCTCTTCTTGCAGGGCTCTGAACATGAATCAAAGTGAGTCTCGTGGCAGCAGCCATGGGTAAAGGCAGGCTTCTGCAGCAGGCCAACCTGGAACTCCTAGCTCCCTTTCTGGCTCCTGTGGCACCCATTCCTGTGTTATGGGTGGGGAGAGCCCCGTGGACTTTTCAGAAACGACCTAAAGCCTCTGTCCCCATCATCTCCTGCTGTTTCTCTAGATGTTCTCAGAAGGCACATTTTATTTGTAAAGATTTATTTATTATGTATATAACGTTCTGCCTCAATGTATGCCCGCACGCCAGAAGAGGGCTCCAGAATCTCAGTACAGATGGTTGTGAGCCACCATGTGGTTGCTGGGAATTGAACTAAGGACCTCGGGAAGAGCAGCCAGTACTCTTAGCCACTGAGCCATCTCTCCAGCCCCCAGAAGGCACATTTTAAATTCAGAGTCTACACTTAAATACCTTTTTCTTGCAGACTTAAGTAAGGAACTGTGTGACTGTCAGGCTAGGGTGTTGGCCGAGGTTTCTCTTACCTGGTCCTTGCAGCCGTTGAGTCCCAGAGATATATACACAGAGTCCTATGCTAATCATAAACTGATTGGCCTAGTAGCTCAGGCTTCTTATTAATTAATTCTTATAACTTATGTTAGCCCACGTGGGCTAACCCACGTCTGTGTTAGCCACGTGGCTTGGCACCTTTTTTGGCAAGTCAGTCACATCTTGCTTCCTCTGTTGCTAGGTCACAACTGCAGACTGCGCTTCCCTCTTCCCAGCATTCTCATTGCCCCGCCTCTACTTCCTGCCTGGCTACTTGGCCATTCTGCGTTTTATTAAAATACAGTTGAGAGGGTACAGACCATTGTCCCACAGCACAAGGGGACAGGGCAGGGATGCTGTAGAGTTGCCTGGGAAGGCTACATAGCAAGCAAGTGTTCATGAAGCGTATGCGTGCTCTTGCGGTGTAACAGTGAGGTGCTTCATGTAAAGACTGCCTTCAGCTCTAGTTTGCTACTTCTGTTAGAAAGCCAAGGATTGTCTGGGAGAAGGATGCTGTCTGTATAAACACTTCCTGTCTGATGTTCCTGATAATGAGTGAACATTTAGAAATGTTGGGCCTGGGCAGTGACTGCCAGACCAGAGCTCTTTCTGGTCAAAGGGGTCATAGCATCATCTGCTCTTTGTGAAGCTGTCCCAGTTCTCTGAAGAGCAGGCAGATCCCACCAACCATGCAGTCAGCTCAGCCCTTTCCCTAGTCCTTGCCTGCCCTGGATCCTCAGAGTATGTGAGGATTAAGGAAGAAGATGCGACAGGGTGATGGTGTCTCCTGTGACATGCTAAGTCTGTGCTCAGTCACCAAGCTGCACCCAACCCTGTGATGAGGGCTCAAGACAGTTACACCAAGTCAGGAGTGGTCTGATTTGAGGAAACAAACTCCGTGTGTCATCCTACCTCTCCAGCCCCTTGGCTTTCACGGACCCCTTTGAGGAATGCAGGACATTGGTGACTGCCCAGAGCCACAGTTCCGGACTATCTGGTGACTCCACACTCTAAGTGGACAGCAGCACTTCCTGACCCTCATGGCTCTGAGATGAGAGGCCCACAGGGTGGGCAGGTGCTAAGTACTGGCCCAGGGTGGCCTGGGTGCAGGGGAGGAGCCTCAAGCCTTCCCACTCCACTCCCAGAGCTCTCTGCAGGGATTATTCCCCAGCCCTCAGCCAAAGACTCAAAGCCGCACTTGGTCCTAGGGGTCGCCTTTCCTCCACAGAACAGACACTTTCTCCATTCGGGAGCTACACCATGCATCCATGGCTCTCACAGGAATCTGAAGCCTCATAGCCTCTGATAGATGATAGATCGTTCCTTCTGATCTCCCGTGTCACTCCTCCTTTGTTCCTATAGGCCACCGTGAATGCCCGGCCCCAGCGAATCCTCGACACATCCTCTCTCACCCAGTCGGCCCCAGCCAGCCCAACTAACAAGGGCATGCACATCCACCAAGTGGGGTAAGTGGTTTGCCAAGCCCCGTCCACTCTGGTGGGGTCCCAGCTGCTACATCACATCCCTTGCCTTCCTCTCCCTTCTCTCTTAGCACTTCTCCACCCCCTCCACCCTCCCTCCTCCCTCCTCCCTCCTGAAACACAGGTGCATATGGTGCCCCTTTCTCAACTTCCTCCCTGTCCCAGAGCACTTTGTTTGCACACAGCATGACAGGAAACCTTAATGGTGTCTGGCTTCTATGGCCTTTGGAAGTTTTTCAGAGGACCTGGGTTCTCTATAGGTGGGCAACGGGGTTGGGTCTACACCAGTTTCTGCTCAGGACACACCAGCTGTGGGTTGCGTTATCTTGTCCTCCCTGCCTCGGCTCATTGTGTCCAGTGCAGGATGCCAGGGAGCATCCAGCAGGACCAGCTTCAGCCAGGGGCAGGCCAGGCAGTGGCACATTCCTGGGGAGAGGGCCTGGGATCTCATCTCTGCATTGTGATCCCTCAGTAAAGCACGCTGTCTGCTCTTTCACAGGGGCTCCCCGCCAGCATCTAGCACCAGCAGCTGCAGCCTGACCAATGACGTGGCCAAGCAGACTGTCAGCCGTGACCTCCCCTCCAGCCGCCCTGGTACTGCAGGCCCCACAGGGACACAGTACACCCCTCATTCCCACCAGTTTCCTCGAACACGGAAGATGTTCGACAAAGGCCCTGATCAGGTACAAGCCCTGTGAGCTCCCAGCATCAGGACATGGTGCTGAGAACTTAGCTTTCCTGAAAGTCCTTAGCTTGGGACCATTCTGTCCCTGTAGCTCTGTGCCAGCTACTGCCTTTGAGACCCTTGGAGACTCAGTGGCACCCGGTCCAACACCCCCTATCTGCTGGTCTGGTCTTCCTGCAGCTCCTTCTCCTAGGTTGGCTCCTCTGGACCACTCCATGAGTCACAATGAGCGTGTAGAGTTAATTTCCCTTTTCCCCTTTGTGGGCGAATAGCATCTATCTCCACTTGGGGTGGCCACTGCTCTGCGGTGTTTGTTCTGAATGGCTTTTTTGGTTTTTTTTCTGTGAGCATTCTATTACTCTGCACAAGCAGGCACACACTCTGCCTTTAACTAAGCTGGAAAGAATAGTTCAGGAGAGAGGAGTGTGCTGCTGCCCCAGGCTCCGAGAGCCACAGAGATGAGCCTCATCCTCTCAGCTGCCAAGCGGGGATGTTCAGGGTGACACTCAGCAGCAGAGGGGCTGGGGCTCACTTTGTCATCTGGGGAATAAAGAAGGGGCCACAGCTTAGAGCCATCCCACACACCTGGAACCCCAGCACTCAGAATGCTGGGTAGGAAGACCATTGCTATATACTGCAGGGGAGAAGAGCGCCGTGACCTTTGTCATACGCTAGATGTCCTTTCGGGTGTAAGGAGAGGAGTGCCAGGCCCACTGGCATGAGATGGGAAGATTGGGTACACAGTGAGACCCTGTCTCAAACAAAGCTAAAATCGGGGGGCTGGAGAGATGGCTCAGAGGTTAAGAGCATTGCCTGCTCTACCAAAGGTCCTGAGTTCAATTCCCAGCAACCACATGGTGGCTCACAACCATCTGTAATGGGGTCTGGTGCCCTCTTCTGGCCAGCAGGCACACACACAGACAGAACATTGTATACATAATTAATAAATAAATAAATAAATAAATAAATAAATAAATAAATAAATTTTTAAAAAAAGCTAAAATCGGTCTAGGAGCAATGAGACTAACGCATTTCCTCGTGATTCTGCTCCTTCGCAAACACCCCCAGACCACAGATGATGCAGACGATGCAGCCGGACACAAAAGCTTCATGTGTGCCACCATACAGACTGGGTTCTGCGACTGGAGTGCCCGATACTTCGCCCAGCCAGTCATGAAGGTGAGTATGAGTTCTTGGCCGCAGTGGAACCTTGGGATGTGGCTTCGGCAACCCCGGCGCTCACACCTGAAGCTGAAGTCCTCAGGCTGCCTTCTCTTTGCCCCTGTCCCTGGTGCTGGCCTTGGGGCTTGATCCTTGTTCCTAAAAGTCACTTCCTAGTGACTCAAAACCCAATCTTAACCCCATCTCTGGCTGCCGGGGTCTGTTAGCCCACCTGTGACCTGAGCAGGTGGGCCAGGATTGGCAGGGGTGTGGGTAGGGGAGCTCAGTCACACTCATCCTTACCTTTGTTTCCGTGGCACCGGAGTGCTGTCATAGAACAGGTGGCGACAGTTAAGACAGAAGAGCCCACCAAGTGGTGGTGGTGGCGGTGGTGCATGCTTCTAATCCCAGCACTCGGGAGGCAGAGGCAGGATGATCTCTGTGGGCCAGCCTGGTCTACAGAGTGAGTTCTAGGACAACCAGGGCTACACAGAGAAACCCTGTCCTAAACAAGGCTTAAGGGACCAAAAGAAGAGCCAAAGTGGCCGGCTTTGGTTTCTTCCTGTCTTCCCAAAGAAAGCACGGGCAGAAATCTGCCTGTCTGGGACTTGCCAGTGTCACGTGTTTCCTTGTCTAACTCCCCGTGGAAGAGTGTGTGTTCAGAGCTGTCCTTGGACCGTGCTTGGTGACAATGGGGACTTAGCCTACCAAAATGCCTTCTGATCTTAATCTGCCTTAACTGTAGTGCAAGATGTTTCAAGACTACAGATTTGTGCCCAAGCTAATGAATGGCCCCAAACCAACAGCATCTACACTGGGTCAGCCCCTGAGTCTGTCTCCATGTCAGAGCTGCAGAAAATGGGCTTTTAGGTTTGTCTGTAGGCCTGAAGCAGGCTCTCTGAATGTCTTCTCCTTCCTGTATATTGACAACTGAGAGCCACAGCTTATTCTTACTTGTATGTCGAGCTAGATGCCCAAGTAAGTTCTCTAAAAAGCATTCAAAACAGCCGTTAGAGTATAAAATGGCCGGGCTTCCTATGTCTTGAGCCACCCTTCCCTTCAAAGTAATCATTGCTTTATTAAGATGATATATAAAAATCAAATATATACGATCTCTATGAGTCCTTTAAAAGCAAAAATTGAGATACACTTAAATGCCTAACAGAGACTGGACAGTTAAAAATTCTGAAATAGGATTGAGGGCATAGTGACAGGGCACACGCCTCTCTTTCCCTGGACTCTGGGTTCCATAGAGAAGCACTGTAAAAATAAAATAAAAATAAAACCTCCTCAGGGCTGGGCCAGGGTGTGGCTCAGTGATGGACAGCTTGCCTGTTGTACTAGAAGCCACAAGTTTCATCTCAGGATCACCAAAAAATAAAATAATAATAAATAAAAAGTCTTGAAACATTTGGTTAGAAATTATTGAAACTATGAAACAAGTCTTTTTGTTTTGGTTTTGGTTTTTTTGGATTTTCAAGACAAGGGTTTCTCTGTGTAACCCTGGCTGTCCTGGAACTCACTCTGTAGACCAGGCTGGCCTCAAACTCAAGAGATCCACCTGCCTTTGCCTCCCAGAGTTCTGGGATTAAAGGCATGTGCTACTGCTACTCTGCCCAGCTAAGCAAGTATTTTTTGGTTTTTGTTGTTTGTTTGTTTGTTTGGTTGGTTGGTTGGTTGGTTTGGTTTTGGTTTTTGTTTTTTTTTTGAGGCAGGGTTTCTCTGTAGCTTTGGAGCCTGTCCTGGAACTAGCTCTTGTAGACCATACTGGCCTCAAACTCACAGAGATCCGCCTGCCTCTGCCTTCTGAATGCTGGGATTAAAGGCGTGTGCCGCCACTGCCTGGTGTAAGTATTTTTTTTACAATTAAATCTGAAAGTTAATTAGTAACAGCCAGGTGTGGTGGTACATGCCCATAATAATCCCAGCACTCAGGAGGTCGAGGAGGGAGGAAGCAGAGACAGCTTGGACCGTGTTTGAGACCCTATTGCAAAACAAAACAGACCAAAAAATTTGTCGCATAAGAAAATCCTTATGACAGAAAGTTTTAGACAAATACTAAGAGCTGGACCTCTAGAGGAATAGTAGTTCTGTAGGCCATTATGGCCCACATGCTCATGTGAAATCCTAGAAGAGAACTCTGTGACCTCGGACACCTCGGTAGTATGGCACTGTGTAGTACCAAGTATGAAGGGTTGGGGTGTAAAGAAATGAGCTTTCTGATCTTCCTCGTGTGGGGACCAAGCTGTAGGAACGAGCACAGGTCCGTGGCTGCCCACACAGCAGGGGAGCACGCCCTTCTGATCTGTGGGAAGGAGGGTGCATGCCCTGGACATGTGTGGTAAAGATCCCACACTGAGGCACTCAGACACTGCGGGCCATTGAGAACTTTACCAGCATTTGGTTTCCTGATATAGTCCATGCTCATGGCAGGTAAGGCTGGAAAATGCAGACACAGACCCCTGCTTCCCTCCACCATGCTGGCAGCGGCTGGCAGTAATGGTAACTTCTTGGGACACTAGTGAGAGGCTTTTCTTGAAGGCCTTGAAAATTGCTTCTTTTCTGTCATCCTTGTGTGCTGAAAGGAAGGGCACAGGTGACTCAGAATGTACTGCCACTAGACTTAAAACTGAGCTCAGTGTCTTCCCAAAGGACCATCATAGAGTGAGCAGCCATCCCTTGGTACAGGCGGTGGGTGAGAGTCCTCAAAGGCCAGCTGTCCTCAGCTCACCTAGACTCCAGTGCCTCTGTACTCCTCTGCAGTACAGGGGTGGGGGGCACTCCTGGGATGAGCTGGACTCAGTGGGCTTGCCAGATGAAGAGATTTGCTACACAATCACTGACATCTCTGTCAGAAGCAACTGGAAATTGAGATGCAATATCAGTGGCATTCGCAAATAACACTACAAAACAGAAATACTGAGTGTAAATTTTTTGATATTGAAAATTATAATACTGTAAAAGAAATAAGAGAGGCCATGTTCACAGGTGGGAAGGCTCAGTGGTGTGCAGGTGCTGGGCCTCCCAAAATGGCCACTTAAATCAGCGCAGCCCTGATCAAAGTCCCAGGGAAACTGTTTTGGCAAAAATGATGAGCTTTAAATATGGAGAGAAGCAGTGAAACTCCAAAAACTAGAAATTCTGCAATAGAGCAAAGCTGCAGGGCTCACACTGTCCAATGTCAAGACTGTCCAGTTGGTAATCAGGATGTGTGTGGACCTGGAACATGGACAGACACATAGATCAGTAGGGCAGAATAGAGAGAGACAGCCACACAGGCAGGTTCCATTGATTTTCAGCCAAGGCGTGAAAACAGTCCAGTTCAGCAGAGACATTTCAAAGAAACACCTTACCAACAGAGTGAATTGTGTTCCTACATGTAAAACCCCAAACTACAAACCTTTGGGCTACACAGAGCCTTTAATAAGATACAGAAACCCCACAAGTCATACAAGAAAACAAGATGATGAGTTGGACTTCATCAAATAGATCCTCTGGCAGCTCTCATGGCGGTCCTCAGCTGCACAGCACATTTGAACCCAGACTGTGTACACGAACTCTGTGTCGTAGTTGGGATTTTTATTGCTGCGATGATACACCATGACCAGAACCAACTTGGGAAGGGTTTGTTAACTTTGAAAGTGATCTTCTGAGAGAGGGCCTCCCCACAGAAGTCTGTGCCATGCTGTGCTGAGTGCAGTGTTCTCTGTGGTCTATGGATCTCCCTCTCTAGAACAGGCAAAAGCACGAGGTCAGAAGACGGGAGCCTGCGGCCAAAAGGCAGACTTGACAAGGGGAAGGGGCATGTAAACATGTTGATGGGCTGAGCCTCGCCTTTCAGCTCCCTCTCAGCTGCCTGTGCCGGCTTCGGAGCTGTAATTGATCTTTCTGAGAAGCCAAGAGGTACTGAACTGGCTTGTCAGGACACTAATCGTGTTAATACTGTGAAGCAGGCCACATCCCTCTAGGACAGTGGTTCTTAACCTGTGGGTCACCGCTGTTTTGGGGACTGAATGACCCTTTCAAAGGGGTCACATATCAGATATTTATGATTTATAACAATAGCAAAATTGCAGTTATGAAGTAGCAATGAAATAATTTTATGGTTGGGGTCACCACAATGAGGAACTGTATTAAAGGGTCACGGCATTAGGAAGGTTAAGAACACTGCTCTAGAAGCTGTTTGGAGAGAGGATCCCAAAAGCCAGGCCTGGATGCTTGTTTTCCAAAAGGCAATATTATTCTGCCCAGAGGTGAATAGAGAGAAAGCGAGGGGTAATGCCCAGGAAGGGGATAGTCTGCTGTCCAGTCTCATCCGGTCACTCCACTGATGGCTGGTTACCCGCAGTGGCTCCATGCCTGTACCTTTTCACAGTGTGCTGCTTCCCTCTCTCTGGGCCGTCCTCTGCTTTCTGCTGCCTCTCACAAGTATAGCAGCTCTGAGAGAAGGCTCACTTCTGAGTGCTGGGTACAGAGACTGCCCCTCACCGCCAGGAGACAGAGTCCAGGGCCAGGCTTCTGTCACCAGTGACAGTGCAAGTGCCAGACTGCCTGACACCCTCCAGGCTTCCGTGTGCCTGGGATCCCCCCCTGTGTGTCTCCTCCAGGCTTCCGTGTGCCTGGTCCCCCCCAGTGTGTCCCCTCCAGGCTTCCGTGTGCCTGGGATCCCCCCCTGTGTGTCTCCTCCAGGCTTCCGTGTGCCTGGTCCCCCCCAGTGTGTCCCCTCCAGGCTTCTGTGTGCCTGGGTCCCCCCGTGTGTCTCCTCCAGGCCTTGCTTGTCTCTGTCCTGGAGTTGCCCTGGGTTCACTCCATGTGCAGCAGCAGTGCAGTCTCAGAGAGCCGAGCTGCACCAGGGCCTAGAGTCCCACCCCTCAAGTCCCTCTTCCTCTCCAGGCACCTTTTAGACCTCTCCTGATCTGCTCCCAGAGAACCTGGGTCTCACCAAAGTGCATCTCCTGCGCACTGAGATCTGTCTGAAGCTGCTCACTATTGCTCCATGTCTTCTCTAGTAAGCTCTGCATTGTCATGAAATGACACGCGTGGTTCTCAATCCACATTTACTGCTGGGGGGCCATTTTTAAACCACTAATCATTCTCAGGGAGGCAGTGACATCTCCCTGTGTCCAGGTGGGTGTCCTCCTGTGGCAGATGATTTTGCTGTTGTTGTGTGTGTGTGTCTGCAACTTTTGAGAAGAAAAAGAAGGGTGCATAGCAATAAAACACTGAAGAAGAAACATAGTCCTGCTTGGGGTCTTCTTCCTGGTGCTGTCTTCCTCAGGGCGCAACTGTTTCCTGGCTGGCCCAGACAGGTCCTCTCTGTGTCTTATCCTGTTCATTGATTGTCTCAGTGTTTGGGGAATATAAAACTATCGCAGCCTCTCAAGAGAATCAGTCAATGAGGTTAATCCGCAAGTGCAGCTGTCAAAGCCAGCACCTCTGCCTCTACATGCTGGAGGCATTTCTCTTGTTGGGAAATCTCAGGACCCCACTGTACAGCATCATCTCCCCCACCCAGCCTTTAGCCCAGACTAAAGGATCCAGACCTCCAGTTCTCAGAGAGTAATGTCATTTGTTTGTTATTTTCCCTGAGATGTGGACCACTCTGTAGCCCAGGCTGTCCTGGAATTCACCAAATAAACCATACTGCTTCGAACTCATGGAGCGCCACCTGCCTCAGCCCCAGTGTGAAAATCATGGAATCCCTGAGATGTGGACCACTCTGTAGCCCAGGCTGTCCTGGAATTCACCAAATAAACCATACTGCTTCGAACTCATGGAGCGCCACCTGCCTCAGCCCCAGTGTGGAAATCATGGGCATACAGCACCATGCCCGGCTCAGCAGAGACTGTCTTCTAGTTGTTAAGCCTAAACTTGGGTTTTCTGTCCTTATAGATCCCTGAAGAGCATGACCTGGAGAGTCAGATCCGCAAGGAGCGTGAGTGGCGGTTCCTGAGGAACACTAGAGTCAGAAAGCAGGCCCAGCAGGTCATTCAGAAGGGTAAGTGCATAGCGCCCCCAGAGGAGCAGGTCTTCTGCCAGATAGATTCAGTGCCCAAGGCACTGTGTGTGCTGCCCTTGCAGACCAGCACACTGACTGGTAGAGGCAGCTGGGACATCGGTGGCATCGGGGAAGAGGAGGCCACCTCATGGGGAAGGCTTCTCCTGAAGGACCTTCCTGCCCTGGGCTCTCATAGAGGCAAGTCCCGACTAGATAGTGGCCTTCAGAGAAGTATCAGCTCTGCTCTTTGGCATTTCCAGAAGGGGGTGCAGGCCTTTTCAGGCCCTGGGAGCCCACATCTCACTAACCACCCAGGATGTCCTTGAAGTGACCACTGGCTCCATTTCTCCAAAGCTCGACAACTGCGCCCTCACCAGACCTTTCCCAGACTTGACAGCATGCTATGTTTGCCCCCTTCCAGCCTCATGGAGACAGTGTTACTGATTAGCCAAAGACAGTATGGTGCTGCTCTGGAACCCAGGAGCAAGCTCCTGTCGGAAGGTTGTGCAGTGTGTCCCCCAGACCTGGAGCATGCAGGGAACAGGATCGTCCCAACTGTGGCAGGAATGAGGGCCATATTACCTCACCCTAAGACCAGGGTTCTTCATCTACTCTGTTAAGGCGTGTAGAGCAAGGCTGCAATTCCACGGCTCTGATTGCATGAGAAGGAGAGGTAGAGGCCACTTAATGTCTCCAATGTCTCCAAGTAGTTTTTCTCATAGAAGCAGCCATGGCTGAGGGTCAGTGTGGTCAGTCTGTGGCCTTCTCCCAGTTCCACAAGTCACAGTTTTGATCATACCTCCCTATCCTCTGAAATTTAGAAAATAATGACCAGTTACTTATTAAATTAGGACTGAGCCTCAGAAGACAGACTGTCCCTCCCACTGAAACAGACGGCCATGCCAGCTTCAGCCCCAGGCCTGCCTCATTGAGTACCTCATTTCCTGCATATCGATGCTTGTGTCCCCCGATCTAAGATGCAGGCCCTTGGGTACCTGTGGCCCTGACACAGTCCCTGCTCCCGCTCTTGGCTCCTCATGGCTCCTTGTAGGTGCTGGGGTCTCCTAACTCTGTGTGCAGCGGGTACACACTGTCCACGGCGCCTTCCTAGATAGCACCAGCCCTCTCAGAGCCCATGTCCACTGCACTCCCCTAGACAGTGTTTTCTTAGGACTCCAGGCCATGGCGGCTAGGGCAGGCTGATTTCTTGACGCGAGGTTGGAAACCAGTTCAGAAACCAGGCCCACACAGTAAGATGTCTGGGGGCCTCTTGGTCCAGCTGCAGAGGCAACATTGCCTGGCATTTCTATTCAGAACTGAGGCGTGCATTAGAATACAAAGACAGGTGGGGCTGGGAGATGGCCACACGAGCATGAGGACTGAGTGCGAGTCCAGAGCCCACATACAGAAGGCTGGGTCCTGCGCTGCGCGTCTGTACTTCTGCCACTGCCTCAGAGACAGGGCCAGTAGCTGCTGAAGAATCAGGTGAGATGGAGACACAGTAGCTCAGCACTAAGTGGGCCGCAGTGCGTTCTTCCGGTCACCCAGGCTGTGTCTAGATTCAGCATAAGCCTTTCCTTGTTGGACAGCCGAGTATGTGCTGGGAGAGGTCAGAAGAGAGGTAGGAGATGACGCCTGCAGACTGGGTGGCACTGACTGCAGAAGTGCAAATCAGGCCCCAGGAGATGGGAACTAGGAAAGACCAGTTGGCATTCTTCAAGGCCCTGATCATCATTGGCTTTTCCTGGTGACCTGGGCCAGCTGCCACACATTGCTGTTTGCATGAACCAGAGGGTAGACGCAGTGTGCAGAGCAGCCTACCTGGCTGAACGGTGTGATTCTTTCAGGGCCGCCATCCTAGAGTCCCCTATACAGCAAGGGCACAGACAAGTGGAAAGAGCCTAGCTCAGAGCTACCCACAAGCTGGTGTCTGCCTCTCCATAGGCTCATGTAAGGGCCTTCTGGCTAGACCGGAAAGCTTTCCTCTGTCCACCCAAGAGCTATGACCACTGGCTAAAAAGATGTGTGGTCCCTGAAGCACCTTCCTGGATACCCAGAGGTCCATGCAGGTATCTGGAGCCAAGGCAGAAGGTGCTGTCTTCCTTCCTTGGTGCTGAAGCTCTGAAGTAGTGTGTACTCTGAGGAGACTTTACTGCCCTCCGTACCATGTCCAGCAGAGTCCAGCTGCCTGCTTTCTGTCTCTTGAAAAACCAGGAGGGTGTCTATTTTTGACTAATGTGTGGGACCTGGTAAGAAAACCTGTCCTGTGTCCTTCACCCTTGTGATTTCTTGGCTAGCTGCTTTCCAGACTGAAGACCCTGGGCCTTAGCTGGGTCATGCGTGGTGGCAACCACACCCTCCTTCATCCTGAAATCCTAGCACTCTCTTCCAACTCAAGTTCTTCTACTCTGCATATTGCTGTGTATAGTATAGGAAGCACTGGTCAAACGTATGTCAGTGTCTGCCTCCAGCAGGCTCTGAGACAGCACCAAGCCTTTGGATGCACTGAGTTACAGCCCCTTTTCCTCAGCGTGTGCTGTCAGCCCTTCTCTCTGGCCCCTGCTTCCCCTACTTCAGCTCTAGTAAGGCCATGTCAGTGTTGCTGGAGATGAGAACTTGGCTCCGTTATCTCTTGCAGGCATCAGCAGACTGGATGATCAGATCTTTCTGAACAGGAACCCTGGCGTCCCCTCTGTGGTCAAATTCCACCCCTTCACACCATGCATAGCTGTCGCCGACAAGGACAGCATCTGGTAGGCACGGCTTCAGTTCACCCTGCTGCCCTCCCCTCCCCATGGCACCCAATTCTAGACTCACTTGGGCTGCACTGCTAAGGAAAGGCCAGGTAGGGGACCGAGGAACCCCGAGAGAGAATGGAATTTAAAATGACCTGGTGTAATGAGGAAACTGCCCACTGTCGCAGGTTCATCGTTTATAAAATGTCTATAGATCTCCCTCCCCAACCCCCTTTCTTTTGTTTTTTAAGTTGTGGTAAACTGTGTGTGACAGGAAACCGGGCATTTTAACCATTTGCTGTCAGTGCACATGCATGCTGTGAAGGCCAACCCCACCACCACCTCCAGAATGTTCTCCATGCCCCGTATCCAAACCACACAATGGGCACCAGTCCCTCCCCTCAGGTGCCATCAGCACCATCTTTCCTGAGAGTGGATTCCTGTGGTGTCTGTCCCTTGTGACTGTCTTCTTTCACTTTTATCTCACTGCTCGCTCCGACTGTAGCATTTGTCAGCGTTTCCTCCTGGGGCCTGGTGGTACTCTGTTGTGAGGTTCTCCCACATTCTCGGCTGTGCAGGGTGCTTAGGTTGCTCCCTTGAGTGCTGGTGTGGGCGTACCTGTCACCCCAGGTCCCTGTGTTCAGTTCCCGAGGAACGTGCCGGGGTGGAATGCTGTGCCAGTCTTTCCTGGGGACCACACCATACCTCCCACCAGTAGCACACAAGCTCCTCATGCTCACTGGCCAGTTCCTCCCACCGGGGTTTGGGTTTCCTTAGTGACTGTCTCTCTGTGATCGCCCTTCTTCCTTCAAGCTTTTGGGACTGGGAGAAAGGAGAGAAGCTGGACTACTTCCACAATGGCAACCCTCGGTACACCAGGGTCACCGCCATGGAGTACCTGAATGGCCAGGACTGCTCCTTGCTGCTGACAGCCACAGGTGAGCCGGACTGGTGTGGCCCTAGGCCTGAGGGGCATCTTTGTTCTGTTTCTCCCTTTTTCATAAAACACTGCACACCAAGGTTCCCATCATTCTGAAGTGTGACATTTGTGAGGGAAAGGGCTTGAATACAAGGCAAGATGTTGGTCAGGGCTCTAGGACCATCTTTCCACCAAGTGTCCCTGGCCCTTCCATGACTTGGAAATGCCACATCAGCCTCTAACCTCCTAACCTTCATGGGGGATCCACATGGGCCCCCAGATAACACATGAAAGCCAAGGAGGACATCCTAGGCCATAATGTTCACAAGGGCCCATGCTGCTCCCAACCTTTGGCTCCATGAGCTCCCCTCCTCCCATGACCATGCAGAGGGATTACGGCTCCCAGGCCAGGTCTGTCCATCTTTGCAGGCCAGCTTCCTGCTTCCGAAGGTGGCTGAGGAGGGGTGTTTCAGACACAGGAGCGGCTCTCACTCTGTTTTCTTGTTTGGTCTTCCACCTGAAGTAATCAGATCTCATGCTCAGTTTTGAACAGTAGTCTCCGTTGTCTACTACTAAGTCTAGGTTGGTGGTAGGTGTTACTTTGTGTTGTGTCCCCTTATTTAAGACACCCTCGCATGTAGCCCAGTCTAGCCTCAAGCCCACTCTATAGCCAGCGATGACCTTGAACTCTGATCCTCTTGCCTCTTTCTCCCAAATTCAGGGATTACAGCCAAGTGTACCCTGCCCCATGCACTAACACACTGCTGTGACCTGACCCAGGGCTTCCCCAGCCACAGCTGTTTTAACCCTCTGACAACACAGGTCCTGGATCGGGGACCGTTTGGTGGTAGAGGGCTTGCCTGGCATCACAAGCCCCGCACAAACTGCAGAAAGAGAGTCACACCAGCACCATGACCTCCTGCTGGTGAGACCGTTTGGTAGTAGAGGGCTTGCCTGGCATCACAAGCCCCGCACAAACTGCAGAAAGAGAGTCACACCAGCACCATGACCTCCTGCTGGTGAGACCATTTGGTGGTAGAGGGCTTGCCTGGCATCACAAGCCCCGCACAAACTGCAGAAAGAGAGTCACACCAGCACCATGACCTCCTGCTGGTGAGAAGCTGCTGTCAGGTCGGAAGGTGGTGGCAAGGCTAATAGAGGGGCCCTGAGGCCACAGTCCCAGGCTTCTCTGTCCTCATCCTGGGCCTGGACTTGGTTTCTGCACCACTTGAGACCACTGATAATCCCTGTATATGACTTACAAATATATGGCTTATGTTCACACTTCAAAGGGGAAACTACCCCCAGAAATTAATCTGACAGCCCTACAGTCCAGCCCTGAGTGATGCAGTGGTACCCGAGGGACTCAGATAGCAACTGGAGGTGGCACAGGTGGGCCTCCAGTCCAGTAGCCCAGCACGCAGCAGGCTGCCGTGTCCACATCCACTGCTAGGGAAGGCCAGGGAGTGGCTGCTGGCTTCCTGCAGAGCTGGTCACAGCCGCAGTCATTCTCATCCAGCTCGACCAGTGTACAGAAACTCAGCGGTCACCGGGATCAGAGCCCGGAGGTGCTGTTGGGATGTGGTCACCGGAAGGGTCCTTTGTGACTAGAGTCCACGGCTCTTGTGTTGAGGCATATTGGAGACCCGTGTCTGCCGAGCTGCTGGAGTCTGGGCTTTCATGACCTGGAAGACAGTTTAGTCTCTGCTCCTTAGTGGTATAGGCTGCCTGTTCCCAGGACTTTGGGAACATTGCTTACACCCAAGCGCCCCCTGCAGTGTCAACACGGTCAGCATCAGTCAGGGTGCTGAGCGTGAGTGTCTCCATCTTGTTTTCTTGTTTGTTTTGTTGTTGTGAGTGTCCATCTCCTGTTTCAGTGAAGACGTACGGCCCTAAAAGTCTGTCTAGCAGAGCCACCTCAGGACCCTCAGCACCAGTGCTGGCCAGGAGCGACCTCTACACAGTGGGGCTGGACCCTCAGGGCACAGCTAGGCCTTCAGGAGAGGTCAGGGTCAGACTAAGATTCTCAAGGCACCAAGGGGGAGGAAAACAAAGGGGAATGGCATCAAGGTGCTGGAGTCCTTTGACTCAAGGGAGCCGCTGTAGAAGGGCCTCCTCCTTTCTAAGCCTCTAAAAGCAAGGCGGACGGGGGTCTCGCGTGTTTTGGTCTGGTGAGCCAAGCAACCATCCTCTCTAACCTTAGGTCAGGCTGATAAGTGTGCAGAACACCCAGGGCAGTGTGGACAAGGATGAAGGCCCCAAAGATTTGTCCTCTGGAAAACTAAGTCTCACACACTGAGGGACTGGACCAGACAGGAAGAGTGAGGCAGTGATTCGGCTCTCACCCAGCTCCTGTCCTGAGGAGAGAGCCGTCCATGCTGCTGGCTCTGGGAAGAAGTGGCCATGCAGCCAAGCCACTGACGTGTGGCCTGTGGTTTCCAGCGCTGGGGTCTACCATGAACCCATCTCCCTGTACAGCTCTCTCTCCTGGTCACCCACATCAGCACAGCAGGGCCAGGCATCCAGAACCCTGCATCTGTGTCTTAGAGATGGGGTGGACACACCTCCAGGGCACGGGCTCATACTGCTTTTCTCCTTCCCTAGACGATGGTGCCATCAGGGTCTGGAAAAATTTTGCTGATTTGGAAAAGAATCCAGAGATGGTTACTGCATGGCAGGGGCTCTCAGACATGCTGCCAACAACACGAGGTGGGTCAGCTCGTAGACACGCTACGGGTAGTATCGGGTGGGCCTTTGCTCCTCGGGAGAAGGCCATCCAGAACTGTGGAAGACATTTCTGATGCCTCCAGGACACCCATTCCCTTCTGAGTTTCCAAAAGCATCCTGTGGTCTCCCCTGGAAACCACAAGAATAGGCAACACTCCAGGATTCCAATGCTCTGCCGTGTTCTCAGTTTGCCCGAGTTGTAGGCAGCCCTGCGCATGGCCACGTATGGCTTGGGAAAGCACCGCTGCTGGCTGCGCACGAAGGCGACATGGCGACCTTGTGTGTGCTTCTTCCCGTCTTGGGAGAAGTCCAGCCACACTCCCACCTGCCTGGGCTGCTGAGACCTGTGGTCTCCTTGTAGAAGTCTGAGCTGACTGAGATGAGGAATGAGTGCAGCCCAGAGGGTGCTCAGGGAGTCAGGCTTCAGGAGGTGTCCTCTCCGTAGGCAGGTGCCTCCTGCAGCACTGACAACCGGGTGACCTAGCTCCTGCCCCATGGCTTCTGCTGAGTTAACATTCCATGGTACCTGCATGTGCCTTAGGTACCTTGGGTATAGAAGCTGGCTTTGTAAACACTGTGCTTGATGGAGGTCCATGCCCATGTGGAGAGAGGGACCTTGGGAGAATTCCTAAGAGCTGAGTCAAGTTGCCCACTGGCCGTCCTCCTGCCTCAGTCCCTCAGTAGCCGGGATGATGGGCACTGCACTTAGCTGAGAGCTCGTTTCCCTGTGTCTGCTCTTGGTCTCCATTTTGGTAGTCAGGACGCTCTCCTCGGTGTCTTACTCAGGGCTAGCATACAGGTGGCCATGGCCTGTATAGGATCCCTGCTTTTCCTAAGAACTAGGGCCTGGAGGCCACTGAAAGGTGATATGCTGAAACTGTATTTGGTGGACAGAGATTCTGAGTCCTGTGATACAGTTCCTGGAGTGGAGTGTGTAAAGTCCTGGGAGAGCACGGTGCTCATCTGATGCCATTGCACCAGCCTTGCCTTAGGTGAGTGAGAGGGATGCCCAGGATGGCCCATCCTGTCCCTGTTTCTCCAGGAGCTGGCATGGTGGTAGACTGGGAGCAAGAGACTGGCCTGCTCATGAGCTCAGGAGACGTACGCATCGTCCGAATCTGGGATACTGACCGTGAGACGAAAGTGCAGGTAACACAGACGCCCTGCTTCATAGCACAGACGCCCGTGATCCCAGAGTAGACCTCGTCCCTGTCAAAGAGAACCAAGGCAAGCACAGTCGGTGACTGCTGCCCAGCTGTCTGTCTGCAGGGAGACAGACAGGAGATGGCATCTTGCTGGCAGGCGACAAGCTAATCTCCTTTGGCTGCACAGTGATTAAGCCCTTTGACCCTGCATTACAGCATAATTAAGCCTGTGCTGATCCAAATATTGTTTCTCTGTGCAGATTGGGGAATATCAGAAATCAGTCGGGTGAAATATCTTAAATGAGAACAGCTAATTGTTTGACCATCTGCATGCTTCCTTACCCTGTGGTGCTGGGCACAGAAGGCAGGGCTTCGTGTGTGCCGAATACCTCCCTGGGCTGCCACTGGGCTAGAACTCAGCCCCTCACTTAGACCATCTTTCATTTTCAAGATTGTTGATTTGTTTTTGTGACATAATATTACTATGTAGACCGGTCTGGCTCCAAATTTTTTCATTTTAATAGAGTGCATTGGTTTTGCCTCTGATACCAGGGCTTCTTTGCCAGAGTCCAGTTGCACCTATGTCCTTTGGATCCAAGGCAAAATCACAGCTACTGTAAGGACATCACGTAGGTAGCCGAGGGATTGCTGTATCCTGGTGTCAGAGAGCCACAGAGCAGAGCCTGTCCTCAGTGTTCTCCAGCCTGCCCTGCCAAAGTGGGGCCTCGACAGCTGTGGGCATCTCTGCAGAGCAAAGGGCAGAGGCCAGCAGGAATGATAAGAACTGGCATGATTTGAGGCCTGTCCTTCCATGGTCTCCTCAAGCCCCACGATGCCACCAAACAGTTGAAGTAAAACCCTGTCTTCCAGGGTCTCTGCTCATATGGGGAGATAGTGCCTGATTGTTCCTACTTCTGGAGGGCTGTGTGGGACCCTTGGGGTCCCTACAGGTGCAGTGCCTCTTTGGGTGTCATTACATCAGCTGCAAAGGAGGGAACGTGGCTCTTTCACAGCTCCCCACCCCCGCTCCCATGAGTTCCTCTTGGGCTCCCCCGTCTTTCCCTCTGAGGCGCATCCCCAGCTCCTGTTCCTTTTTGCTCCCATTCATCACCCCCTGCCCTTCTGCAGTGTTTACAGCACCAAGGGGAGCAGAGAAGCAGTTCCTCAGCTCTTCCCTGACTAATTAGGGGTTTGAAGAGAGCGCTAACAAGACTCTCTCCCTGCCAAAATGTGCTTCGTCTTTCTTTTCAGGAAAGGGGGATGTTGCTGGAACGTTTAATTGGCACTGAGAGCAAGGCATCCCCACAGTTCTTTTCCCAGCTGTGCCCAGGCCCGGGCTCACAGGCTCTGCTCTGGCCTGTAGACACTCCAGCTGATGGGCATGCCTGCTGCTGTGCAGCCCTGCTCCTCTGGCCTCTGCTAGCCTAATAGGGAGAGACCTGTTCTTAGCCTGAGGGAAGTGGGTGTGGCCAGCTGGAGGCCCCTCCTCCCTCCTCACCGCTCTTTCTGGGGCTTAGGACATTCCCACGGGTGCCGACAGCTGTGTGACAAGTCTGTCCTGTGACTCCCACCGCTCGCTCATTGTGGCTGGCCTGGGCGATGGCTCCATCCGGGTCTACGACAGGAGGATGGCACTCAGTGAATGGTAACCGCCACACCTCCCCTCTCCTCAGTGCTGCTCAAGCTCCTTCCAGACAGCAGAGGCCACCCCACTGCCAGCGAAGGGTCAGCAGTTCACAGTGGTGCTCTGACCACAGAGATGCTTCATGGGCCAGCCTTCGCCCTCCTCTGCCAGGCTTGTGGGTCCATTCTCCATCCTTGCCCGGCACCCAGTCATCTCGCAGCCCTGTGTCCTGCCTCCCAGAGAGACCTCCACACAAGCTGACCCCACAAAGACAGAGGAACAGTGTGGCCTTCTCACTAAGCTGCCATCTAAGGCAGGGCTAGTAGGCCTTCCTCAGCCCAAAATGGCGCCCAGACTTGAAGGCAGACTGGGGAATTGGAGGCTGGACAGATGAGGGGAGTGACCTAGTACAGCCTAGCTAGTGGCTCCAACCTGAGTTTCCTTCTGGGCTCTGCCCAGGGACAGGGACAGGGCCAGGGCCAGTTTACACCCACTTCTCCTAGCCCTCCCTGAGCAGTGCGGGAAGAGAGACTGGGCTGGGCCAGTCCTGACCGCACCTTCCTCCTCTAGCCGAGTCATGACTTACCGGGAGCACACAGCCTGGGTGGTCAAGGCCTACCTGCAGAAGCACCCTGAGGGCCACATCGTGAGTGTGAGGTAAGGAGCAGCAATGCAGAAGACATTTTCTGGGAAAACATTATTTTCCCTCCGTTTAAATATGTCCTTGATATTCAAACAGCTAGGGGCTGTGGCATTTCAGGGCAGTAATTGACTCTGCTCTGCAACTGGCCAGAAAGGTCAGTGTACAGAGCAAGAGGGTGTGCGTGTGTGTACGTGTGCACACACAAACACGCACCAGGAAGTCTGAGATGAGCTGAATAAGATGAGCAGGCAGGTGTGTCCCTCCGGCGTGCACAAGGGCAGCAGGTCAACACGCACCTGGCAACACGTCCCCAGCAGGCTGGCTGCCCCAGCAGACTGCCTTGTTGCCAGCCAGCCTCTGCACATAAATCCAGCCTGCCACTCAGTAAATACCGTGCTGAGAGCCGCGCATCTTTATCTGCCTGTTAAAGAGACAGCAAAGCGTGATTTACTGTCGCGAAGCCACATCCTTCAGAGTGATGCTCTTCCCCCTCTGTAGCATAAGCCTGGGTGGGGCAGCCTGGCCTCCCTGTGGGCCTGGGCATCCACCGGGCTCCACTTCATCAGCTCCAGCCTCTGTGGCACTCAGCTCCTGCCCTTGCTCGTAGCCTTTTCTCTGACCCTGCTGTGCCCTGCTTTGAGTGAGCACAGCAGCTATCTTTGGTGTCAGTCCTGGCCTTTTCCAGCTTAGGAGGGGGCAGCTTGATAGGAGCCCTGACTGCCATAGCCAGTGGGATAGCAGGATGGGGGGCTGTGAGCACCACCTGGGAGGCCCTTGATAGGGGCCCTGGGAGTCTACATGGCTTTGGCCTTACCAGCATGACACTTCACATGGCAAGCGCCACCCTCCCCGGGGCCCCAGGAGTGCACCTGGTCCCACAGCGAGCCTGACTGTGGCCTCCTTCGCAGTGTCAATGGAGACGTGCGCTTCTTTGACCCTCGGATGCCCGAGTCCGTGAACGTGATGCAGATCGTGAAGGGACTGACAGCCCTCGACATCCATCCCCAAGCAAACCTGATCGCCTGGTAGGTACCCTGCCTCCATGCAGCCCCTGCGTCTGAGCAGAGTACCCTGTCAGCACGCACAGCGCTTGGGCTCTGTCCTCACGGTGCCTTTGGAGGAGGACGACTTAGAGGTGTAACTGTGCTACCGTGAAATAAAAGCAGGGGCTCTCTCGGTACCTTCTCTAGCCGTGAGAGCAAACACCCGCCCTCAAGGCTTCTCTGGGGAAGCCTCTGTTACCTTACTGAGGGTAACAGAGGAGTAGCCTCTTCCTGCCTCAGGGTGACATACAGGTGGACCTCCTGGCCTGTGTCCCATTGCTGCAGCCCCCTGGCCTGTCTTCCTCCCACACCACAGGAAGACAGAGGCTAATGTTCTGACATCTCTCCCTCCACAGTGGCTCCATGAACCAGTTCACAGCCATCTACAACGGAAACGGGGAGCTGATCAACAACATCAAGTACTACGATGGGTTCATGGGCCAGCGAGTCGGGGCCATCAGCTGCTTGGCTTTCCACCCACACTGGGTCCGTACCTGGTGCCTTCACTCACGGGTTTCTGGGGAGGTGGGAGAGGAGTCAAGTGGTGGAGACCCTTCCCAGCTCAGGAATATAAAGAGCTGAGATAAGCCTGGGTTCTCCAGAAAACCATCGCCCTGACCCCTAGGAACCAAACTCAGTTCTTAATGCGCAGGTAAGAATAGACAGCGCAGAGGGAGACACAGCTGGTGTCCCTGGGCCCCTCTCCATAGCTGGAGTCACTCGTGTGGACTGTTAGGTTGGTTAGGGTTTTGCAGAGAGCGTTTCACTCTGCTGAAGTGCACAGCATCAGATTCCCAGAACTGTCCCAGTGGGGCGATCCTGAAAAGAAGCTGCAGGGAATTGTGGGTAGTATGCAAATTGCCTGTAATGGAATTTGGATGATACATCATCCTGCTAGAATCCGGCAGTTAATGGCCTTCATTCCTGTGCCTGTGTGGAGTTCAGAGGGTTACGGTAGTTTGTACCTCCCGGCTAGAGCTGGGCACAGCGTACAAGCAGCCTGCTCCCTTCCCCTCACCCCACACACTGTAGCTCCCATCGTAGCTGAGGCCTGGCTCATGCCCTGGCTCGTCTGCTCTCTCCGCAGCCTCACCTGGCAGTAGGAAGCAACGACTACTACATCTCTGTGTATTCGGTGGAGAAGCGTGTCAGATAGCGGCACCCGGGGCTCCCGCCAGGCTGCAGCCACCCTCTGCTGTACATAGTGAACCAAACCGCACTGCTTGGGTTGCAGTGCCCACCTACCTACCCGCCCTGCAAACCCTGGCCGACTGAGGAGGGAGCTCGCACTTCTTCCTGTCTGTCCTCACTGTAATGTACAAGTCCAGAGCAGGGGAGGGTTTGACGCTGCTTCCTGTCAAGAACCAGCACCCAGGCCCCAAGGACCTCAGGATGCGTCTCAGGGCATCGTGGTCCTTCTGTCCTGCTTCCTTCTGAGGTTTTACAAAGGATACATTGGTTTTTCCATGCAGTCAAAGCATTAGTCGCAGGACAGGTGGAGCCCTGTAGAAAAGCTGCATTGGGGCTCCTGAGAGCCATGCCCAGCCCCACTGTCCTCTCAGCAGTGTGGACAGGAACCCCTCAGAGTAGGCTGGGCAATGCTGGGAAATGGAAGAAAGTGACTGAGGGAGGAGAGGGGAGGCCTCTCCTGCTACCCAGTGTGGAAGTCTGAACCTGGCCCTCCTAGGGCACTGAGGCAGCCCAACACACCCACCTCATCACGGAGTACATTATGCTGGTGTGAGAAAGGGGCCCCCTCCTGCACAGCTAGCCTCCGAGGTCACAGGCAAGGGCTGTTGTGACTCTGCACAGATGAGGCAGATGTGTAGAATTAGCTGTTGCCTGCACCTGATGTGCTTCTCTCCTATAGGGCAGTAGCCGTGGCCACAGCCGCACAACCTCCCCACCCATGCCCAAGCTCATGTGGGTGCCCTGGTCTTCCTGTCTGTGCGCGCTTAGGGTGCACACATGTGCAGGCTCACAGTCTCCTCTGCAGGTGTCGTCCTGCTGACCCCACGCTCGTCACACACAGTCCAGAGGCTGCACTGGACCCCAGAGGCGTGTGAGCAGCAACAGCCCTGTCGATGGTGTGGCTAAGGTTGCGCGATGCAATCTGTGATGTGGAAGAGCTTCTCAGCAGTGTCCTGGTGTCAGCATGTGTCTTTGTGCACACACAAGTGAGGGCCATGGACATTGCAGCCCTGGGTGGAGCACAGCACTGCTGATGAGCTGCACACGAATGGGCACGGCACAGTAATGATGTTTTTAAAAGCATTTTCCGTTTTCCCTGGGAATCAGGATCTTTCAGAGGAGGACAAAGTGGCGTAATCAGTTCTGCCAATAGGAGTCCACTGTCCAGGCTGGAACAGTCAGGGCAGAGGCTGGGTCCCTGCGCTGTGCTCTGTTTTAGTCGAGAGCATCGTCCATGTGAAAGGACCTCTGCAGGCAGTGCTGGGCTGACCACAGGGCCAGGTGGGGCTGGACAACAGGACAGAAGGGGCTCCAGAGGAAGACAGCAGCCTGGAGTCGGGAAGGCCTTAGAACCACCCGACACAACCAGGAGCCCCCTGCCCAGTTCTGCAGAGCGCTCCAGTGGGGGACACGCCGGGACCTTCCAGCAGCTGAACTCCAAATGTGATCCAGCTCAGTCCCTGTCTAACTGGGGGTTCTGTCTTGGCAGCACGGGGCCTCCCTTCCCTGGTGGAGCTGCAGAGCTTGCATCTTGCCCAGGGGCTGGGCCTTTGCTGGTCTGATGGGAAAACTCAATCATGAAGCTAACCAAGGCTGGAGAGAGCACTGGCCTGGAGTTCATTGTCTCTACTCATTTCTCCAAAAGGAGAGCTGAAAGGACTGACCGGACATGGAGCTGCAGTGAAGCTCAAAGCAGTGACAAGCAGCAAAGTGTTAATAAAGAATAAAGCCGCGAGAAGAGACTGTGCCCCTGAGAGCCGAGGGTGGGAGGGGCTGGGCCCCTATGAGCCAAGAGTAGGAGGGGGCTGGGCCCCTATGAGCTGAGGGTAGGAGGGGGCTGGGCTCCCGTGAGCCAAGGGTGGGAGGGGCTGGGCCCCCAAAGAGCTGTGCAGTCATAGCTTCGCATTCCCCGGTCCCCTGGGGTGGGGTGGGAGTCTTGCCCAAGATGCTGTAAGTGAATGCCCCAGGACAGGGCCACTGCACTAGCCCTCCTGAGCCTGGGTAGAATAGAAGAGGTGGTGGTTGCCATGGATACCTTGCGGCATCGTGACTGGGATTTCTCTGCTAGCTCAGGCTTGTCATTAATAAGGTTGCCCGCATTTACACAGACCAGCTTCACATGTTCGTTCATTCCCATTTTTCTGTTAACATTGCTGCCTCTCTGGGTTAGACCAAGTAGTGCAGAGGGTGGGTAGGTGTCCTGGGGAAGAGAGGCCGCCGGCTGTGTGGTCCTGTGAGGGGCCAGCAGCAAACTAGCTATGGGTCCAGAGGCCCAGCGCTCCCCCAGGCCAGACATCCCAGCCCTCAAGCAAGTGTGGGGGCATAATCTGCCTACTGCACACTCCTGTGTCCCCATCCCCCAAAGATGGCCCATGGAGGCCAGAGGAATTGGCCTTCTGGATCATACTGATTTGATTACTGGTCTGGTCAGAACCCACGTATTTCCAGAAAGCAGACTGGCACCTCAGGTGCAAGGAGGATGACCTCAGAAGGCCAAGAGTGCATGGAGGAGGGGGGCAGGGCCCAAAGGACTGCTCTGTCTCTCCCAACCCGTATGTTGAGACCCTGATCCCTCCCTCACAGCACTTCACAGGCCATCAGTGACAGCTGTCCCTTTGGGAAGAGAACAGGACCCAGACCCACCTGGACGGCAATGTGCAGGCACAGGGAGACGTCCTGTCTCAGGAGGAGCAGTCTGGACACACCCAGGCTTGAGACTGCCCTCCTAAGACTGCTTACCCAGCCTTCCATCCACCCATGTCCTTTAGAAGTCGGGCAGTAATTGCAGGTGGTATGGTGCCCGGGAAGTGTCTGTGGATTTTGTGTGGAAGAGCCTTTGACATGATACAGCCAGCAGCATCCTGTGGTCCTGGCGCCAGCCAGAGCTGGGTCTGTGCTTCCTTGGCTAGGAGAAAGAACCTCTGTCCACAGCCGGCCTGCCATGGCCTCCCTGTCCAGTGGCCCTCAGACACCACTGTTCTGCGACCACCCGAACCCAGGACTCTGTGCCCCGACCTGCCTTGCTCCCTCCTTTACAAAGGAGCCTTACTCACCATCCCAATGCTGCCTGGCCCCCTTTTAGTGGCCACTATGTGACCTGGGCCTGCGACTAGACCCCACACTGGGAAGATGATGGTTCAATCCGTGAGTGCCCTGCACACTGTGACATCGCCACAAGAGTGGTGAGTTGGGCAAGAGCCATGAGAACATGTCACCTGTGTCCTGGCGTGAATCTAAGGGCCCTACACACTCTACCCACCCTCTTCTGAAGTTGTCCATGTTACCCATGACCTGTGGAGATAGGCCCTCCAAGGGTGACAGGAAAGTCTGCTCCATCCCAGCCCGCACCCCTCCCTCACATGGCAGGAGGCAGGACTATGGCAAACTCAAAGCAGACCAAGGCTCCACTGGAATTCCAGGGACCCATCCTCCAGAAATCTCTGAAGCTACCACGACAGCCCCTAAATATCCTCAAGCCTGGTGTACCTGCTGGGCCCAAGAGTCCAAAATCCCCTGGGGTTCAGCATTGTTGACAATCAAGTGCCCCTCATATGTAGCCAGGAAGGCTACCAACACCTGGACAAGCAGAACTGACAGATCTTACGGTTTTCCAGCCCTTCTCCAGTAGTGCCGGGCATCCAGCTCTCAAGAGGGAGTGTGCAGACGCCTTTACCCAGGAGGCAGGCTCAGGGTGACTGACCATAGAGACAGGATCTACAGTCTCAGACCTAAGGGGCTAGAACTCCCTGCAGAGCACTGAGGGTTCTGATGCCTGGTGGGGGCAGGGCAGAGAGAGGTGATTCTTAGGGTTTGCCTCACAGACTCATCCCTCTGCCTGCAGGCTGATCCCCAATCCTTTGCAGAAGAGTGTGAATAAGGAGGTATCACCAGCTGTCTCATCCACAGAGGGACAGCTGCTCAGCCTCAGGAAGCTGCTGCCCCGGGCTTCCTGCATCACAGTAGGGATGAGATAAAATCGACCCAGTCACTGTCAAAAGCCCACTGTGAGCTGGGGGGTAGTGGCAAAGAGGCCAGCCTGGTCTACAGAGTGAGTTTTAGGACAGCCAAGGTTACACAGAAAGACTGTTCATGAGTCAGGCTAACACCTGTGGATGGAGAAGAGGCCAGCTGCAGGCAGCAGCCCTGTCCTCACGGGAGACAAGGTGTCCCAGAGAGCTTACACTATCAGGGAAGGGTCTAAGTGGCTGCATACAGGACAGGAAGGCCCAGAGTAGTCCCGTGCTGTGGCATGAGCTGCAAAGGGAGAGGAGGTCTACGGGCAGGGATGGCCCTCTCCCCCAGTTTCCCAGTGATGCTTTTCTGTGACCCCAGCCATCTGCAGGTCCCACCCTGTGGCCTCTCGAGGAGGAGAATGGCGTCCCCTTCCCTATTCTGGCTCTGCAGAGGAAGAAGCCAGCCAGCGTCCGGAACCCACATTGTGTGTATTTGTTTTTCTATTTAATGAAAGTGGTTGGGAGGGGAGCGAGTGACACACCAACAAAGCAACCTGAAAAGAAGATTAAGAAGCCAGTTTCACTTACAACAATGAGATTTTCAGAAATGAAAAAGATAGGAGATTGGTATAAAGTTACAAAACATTCAAGAACCCCAAAGACTGGAGTAGATGGGAAGATGGCCCATATTCATGGATCATAAGAGCTAACATTGGCTGGGGAGGTGACTCGTGGGTAAGAGTGGTGTGCCCGCATCACGGGACCCCAAACAAGACCACCACAGAGCCAGTTTCTGATGCAAACACACTGGGGTTTATTGATTACAAGTTAGCCAACCCCTCACTCTGACACAGCGGGTGGGGGAAACACAGGACTGGGCCCTCAAGGTAAGGGGTTTTTAAAGGGAAAAACCACGGCCAAGGTGACACAAACTTTGGCCTTTTGGGATTGGGGAAAAGTATACAACTTTTTTTTTAAAGCTTTATTTATTATGTATACAGCATTCTGCCTGCATGTATGCCTGCACACCAAAGAGGGCACCAGATTTCATGACAGCTTTTGTGAGCCACCATGTGGTTGCTGGGAACTGAACTCAGGACCTCTGGAAGAGCAGCCAATGCTCTTAACCTCTGAGCTATCTCTCCAGCCCCCTAAAGTATACAACTTTTAATTGGTTGAGTTAAAGGGAAAATTTTAAAACAGCGGTCAATCAGATCCCTAAAGGATGTTCACAGCAAGCAGATGTAAACAGATGCTGTCTGGATACCCTGGTGAGTCACGGTAACCAGGGCAGGCACAGTTTCTTGGGAATGCTTATGACTTTGCTGGGCCACATTCACCCCCCTAGTTAGGTCCTGTCAAAATGGAGTTCTTTCTCAAAATGGAGTTGGTTCTACTCCTTCAAGAGCACCTACCAAGCTGGACATGGCACACATCAGTAGTCCCAGAATTCCTATGGTGAGATAGCAGAAACCAGAAACTCTCAGAAGCTCATGGGCCAGTGAGTAGTGAACAAGACACTGGGGCGGGTGTGTGTGAAGACCACACCTAAGGTTGTCCTCTGACTTTGGCTGTCACACGTCTGTACATGGAAGTGCACACGCTAGCCCACAAGTGATAAGAAAGTTTTCAATAGAACAATCACCCCACAGGGCTGGAGAGGGTTTAGCAGTAAGAACAATCACCCCACAGGGCTGGAGAGGTGTAGCAGTAAGAACAATCACCCCACAGGGCTGGAGAGGGTGTAGCAGTAAGAACAATCACCCCACAGGGCTGGAGAGGGTGTAGCAGTAAGAACACATTCTGCTCTTTCTCCTCAATCCCAGTTATGTGTCAGAAGGCTAACAGCTGCCTGTGGCAAGCTCCAGGGAGCCCTGTCTTCATTGCTTTCCCTTGTGTGCAGATATTGACACACATAATCAGAAATAAATCTTTGTAGAAGGTTCTTTTTCTTTCTCTGTAGCTCGGGAGCCTGTTCTGGAACTTGCTCTGTAGGCCTCAAACTCACAGAGATCCACCTGTCTCTGCCTCCTGAGTGCTGGGATTAAAGGTGTGCGCCGCCACCACCTGGCTTTAAAGGTTTTAAAAACAGAAAATCACCTTACATTGAAGAACTATCAAGGCCCCAAACAACTGGAACAAAAATGAAGAATTAGAAAATTATCAGTTCTCAATTGAATATTTGTTACAAAATTGCAGTATGCAAAACATGTTGCTGGAAAAAGTCAGAGTTACAGACCAGTGGACTAGGACAGGGACAAGACCGTTCAGCAGGTGACGAACAGTCTTCAGGCTGCGTGTGGTGGCTCAGGGACAAGACCGTTCAGTGGGTGACAAACAGTCTTCAGGCTGGGTGTGGTGGCTCATGTCACTCAACAGGATGAAGAAGGAGAAACCATAATTTTCAGGCCACCCTGGTCAGAGTGTGAGACCCTGTCTAAACAAAGATGACAGAACCCAGACAGGTTATCAATGCCCGTGATCCCTGGCTTCAGGAAGATTGTGAAGGTCAGCCAGGGGCGCCATAGTGTGCCTCTGTCAAACAACAAAAAACATAGAAGACAATATCCACAGAATTGAACAGGATATTTGTAAATCATGTCTCTGATATGGACTTACTAGCCAGGATACATTATAAAGACCTAATAACCCTATAAGTTAAAAAAAGAAACCAGTAGAGGACTTGTTTAGAAATCTCTCCACAGAACACAAGTGACTGGCCAGCACGGGAGAATGTCATGAGATGATGCAGCCAACCTGCTGGGAGGCCCCATCTCCTACCCGC